AGTACTAAATTAAGAAATGTTTTAACTCTCATTATATTAAAAATTGGTAGAAATTCGATAAAGCACTTATCTCTTTTAAAAGTGGCATACAAATTTGCTTTTCTCCGGTCTTTCACTGTGATCGAAAAATACTTAGAAATTGTTTATAGAAATTGTTATCGCCTTCAAATTACTCAGTTCCCGATATAAGTCAGTGTCCTCGGATTAAGTTTTGAGAATATTGGGGAACGATATGAGTAGTATGCAAAAATCAAGAATTGTCCGAAGAATTGTTTGGTCTTTTATTGCGAACCACTTCACGTTAACGTTGATTTACACTCAGGTAATATGCTTTGGTAATATTTTAAACTAGCAGAAGGAATTTATAATGTACCTACCACAATTACTATAAACGAATAAAACTGTTAACATGACTTCGGTTTTTCAATGAATTTGGTTGGATATTTTTGGTCTTGACTTGTCTATTTCACGAATCACTGTTTCCGAATAGTTCCAGTTCCAGCACAAATTTTATATTATTTTAAAAGTCAAGAAAGATTGTTTGACAGACTTTAACAAGATGGTGTGTTGTTAAAAAATTTAGTATTTTTGGCACCTCGATGTCACTTATTCTATGTACAAACGACTCATACGAATGATGTGCAATAGTCAAGAAAACCCTAATACTCATTCTATCATCGAAACATATTTTCCAAAAACCATAAGCAATGAAAGTGGAATGGTTGCACTTGTTAAAATTGCTGTGGTGGGAAACAGCTGTAAATGGAGTATTAAGAGTAATCACCACTTAATCGAGTTATACAAATGTGACACTTCTGCCAGTGCCTGCACGCAATAACCACAAGTGCAAAAAAGGATTCCTGCACTTTGCTACATCTTCCCAGTGTAGCAGCTCCGCAGTGTCTTCCAATAATTGCATTGAACACTTTTGCAATAATCTCAATGCAATGAGGCTTTGGTATTTGTTAGGTTGTTTATACTTTGCATAGTTCTATTTGGACGTGTGAAGACTAAATAGTATGAGTATGAGTATGAAACAGACTTCAAAATACTTTTCATGGCTTGGCACTTCAATCAAAGCTTAACATATTTTTACAACAATTTGGAGGTGATGAATTCTTCTAAAAACTCTATTCCATTTACAGGAAATTTCAAAATTAGTAAGGCAAAAAAATTTAAAACCTTTGTTTTCTTATCTGTACAACTGTAGCATTTACTCAACGGTAGTTTGTTCATTGGCCCTAAAAGAAGTTCACAAAATTAACTTCATTATGTCAAAATTTTAGGCAACTAGGACAAAATGTAAGTGTAAAAAGTGAAAAGTAACTAAGAAAGTAAATGTTGAAAGCTTGCGAAAAGAATTAAAAATGTTTGGAATGTAAGTCACGTCCTTAGAGTTACTGACAAGAGGTAAAAAGTCAGAAATTAGTTTTTTGCTATTACTCCTTAAAACGAAAATGCACGGGTTTAAGTTTCTGAGATTTGTGATTAAAATGCTCATTGCGTTCCGAGGGGTACAAGGGGGTGCGGCACAAGTTGTGGAATTAAATTATTACGAACTAAAAAATAATCTTGACAATGTTTTATATCATAAGACTGCAATCTCTTTCTTAAGCACACCCAATATTATTTTAGTCATCCATTTAGATAATTTTATGGGACTCGAAAGGACACGAAACTCACATTCTTGGTGCGGTTAAACAATTATTCGTGAAAGTTTTAAGTGAAAGCAAAATTTTTATAATTTTTTACAAGTTTTTACATTACAAATGTTAAATTTACTTACTGTTAGACTTACTGTTCTTAACGCTAATTCCCTTTGATATTCTCAATTGCACATTATTTCATTAAGGACAGTTTTTAAGTAATTTTTAAACTTTTTACCACTGCAGCAATAAAAGCAATAAAAGGAAAAGAATCTTCCACAAACTAAATTTGTTCTCCATTTCGTGTAATAGGATAATACTTAACGAGTTTTTTCTTCACTTGCTCCAATAAAATTGTGCCACAAATACTTTAGATATCCTTGAGATCCACTCAAATTTCGTGGGAACTTAAATTTTTGAAGCCGAAAACTTTTCTGTGCAAGGATTTCGGTATGTTTTCTGGTTAAGTTTGAGTAAAGTTCCTTCCTGGATATAATTGATTCAATTTAAACTATGAAATTTGTTAGTTCACTTTTTCGAATGCAGATAATAACTTTACCTACCTGAACTAAAGCCATGTAGTTTTTCCTTTTGTTTTTACAGAATATCTTTTATTCATAATCAATTAAAGTTTTTTGTGCTTTGCTGGTTCCACTCGTTTAGGAGATTCCTATGGTTTTCAATAAATTTTGTGTTAGTGAAAAGATGTTTCCAACAATATACAATATTTTTAAATTCATTTATTTAAGAGAATAAAATCATATCAGAAGGTATATGAATTGCGCTAGTAGATTGAGTTCAATTATAAAGAACAACTGACCTCTAATATATATAGTATATAGTACTACATGTTACATTTATAATTAATTGTAGTTTTGCGATATTAGTGTTAGATTAGAATAAGATAAAAGCAGAACACTTTGGGTATCTCAAATTAGGCCAGATTGTAATCTAAGTTGATCATGGATAACAGAATTGAATGAATCGTAGGTTAGGCGTCTACGATACAGGTTCAGTAAAATCACTAGTCCGCTGTTTCTTGAAGCTGTGGAAATGTTTTACGATACAAGTGTCAGAATAAGGTAAAGCAGAATACTTTGAGCATATGAGTATTTCAAATTATTCAGAAGACTACGATTTTTGGACCGTAGGCCACATTGTAATTTAAGTTAATCATGAATGTCAGAGTTCAATGAATTGTAGGTTAGGCATCTACAACACAAGTTCAGTAAAATCACCAATCCGCTGTTTCTTGAAGCTGTGGAGAAATAAAAAGCAAGAATAATGTCATCTTGTTCACAAGGTACTTAGAAGAAGAAAATGGCATGCTCTGATAACTAAAGTTAGCAGCTTCAAGGAAAATGTGAAATATTTACAACTAAAATATAATCAAAATTTTTGTTATTTTGTGTTTTCCGCTTCTATTTTTAGATGTATTTTTTAAGAAAAATATTAAAATATTAAATTTTATTTCCTTTAAATGAAAGGAAAATATCCTTCGCAAACAGCTTCACATTTTCATAAGTTAAAGAAAACAAGGGAATTCACTGTTTTGTTTTTGCAGAAATAAACAAATTGTTCATTTTTTTTAAATTTAAGTAAAATATTTCACAGGTACAGTACGCAAACATCCAAGCCTTATGGATTCTGTGCTGGCAATTCATCTCTACTTGGCGTAGTCAGTGCCTGTTAAGTATCTTTAAGTGAATGTATCTTCTGTCGAATTGTGTGCTCAAAGCGGAAGTGTACATGTCTGGTATATGCGTATATACGTTGTTTTCCGAGTTAATGTTTATTCACACATACGAGTACACATCAAAATTAACATACATAAACATAATTAAATATGTATGCCATAATTGGAGTTTCCGTTTCTCAATTTACTCCATTTTAGGCGTTTTCATAGGAATCGATCGTTAAACTTTTTATTTGTTTATAATTTTTTTCTTTGTTATGGTAAGTGCAAACGTTTTACACGTCAAAGTAAGAACTCAAACGTAATTTATATGCACTTCAGATAATTTATATATAACATTTGCATTAAACTTGAATCGGAACACATACACTTATGCTTAATGAGCTTGTTTTCACTAATTCAAAATGTCTTGTATTACCTAAATAAATCAACTTAATGAAGTGGTTTAAAATATAATTATAATTAATATCATTAATTGATTGCAATCACGCACATTCTGAGGCATTCTGAACAAAATATGTATTAAATGCGGATTCGTGTGTAGTGTACTTTGTGTACAATAGTTGGCTTATGAATGTTCCTCGAAACAACTAAACTTTAATGAACTAATACTTTTATTTTTTTTAATATATAATATTAAAAATATATATATTCACATAGGTTTCTAGGGTGTAGTGAGATCACTGATACCTTCTCAATTACTTTTAGCAAATCATCTGGTATCAAGAACATTTCGTATAAATTTGATTAGGCATAGTCGAGCCTTGCTGTGTTAAGCTTTCAGTATCCTGTAGAAGTAGTATCCTGTAGAAGCTCCTACCACTAGCAACCAATGTATCCGCTCGTGTACCTATCAAATAAGTACCTGTAATGTTGGACGTCAGCGAATAAGCAGGCCACCTAAGGAATGCTTGCTTTATGTGGATCAGATTTGTTTCAACCATCACAACTATTTCATTTTGCAGTGGTTTTATATTTGATAAAATATTTAAAGAAGGATACGGGGACTCACATATGTGATTTTATTATTATTTCAATACGGCCTTCTCTACTAATCCCAATAAAAGATGAATGTTTGTGACTGGTATAATAGTGTAATAATCCAGTTATCTAGATTACTGAAGAAGATATATATGAAGATATATCATTCATGAATATGTTTTCCAATTCTGTATCTGCTTTTCAAAATTGTGCTTGGGTTGATGTGGCAATATTAGTCGTAATATCAGTGAGTTTTTGCATTATATAAAATATTCATAGTAATATTAATAATATAGCTGAGATTATAGTTTTATCTACTTTTAAAATAATGTAAAAGTATTTGATATATTTGTGACAGTAAAAGTTGCTATAAATTGTTTTAATAGTTGTTTGTTATTGAAATTAATTATAAATGAAGACTAATTAATTATTATTATTAGTATTTATTTAAACTGTTATTAACAAACTTATCAAACTACTCAGAGATTGTATCGTAATGAGTAAATATTTTTGTCAAATTAACTGCCTTTCGATAAACAACTGAGGAACAATGTTAGGCAATTTATTTAAAATTTTGTTATTGAAACATGAAGTGTTAGCTTTCGAGATAGTGACTTGAATTGTTTAAATATTTCAGTCAGATGTGGATTCAAACATCATAAATAGGGCGAATAACATTAATTTTGTGTTAGTAATGTGTGAAAATTGAAGCAATCATGTTTTCACAATTGAGAAGATATATTCTTACAACTCTGTTGTTAATCTTCTGTTTGCCTCGAAGCCATTGGGCATGTACACTGAACAGTGGTGCACAGGAGAAACAGAAGGACTGGTGGCAAACCGGACAGTTCTATCAAATTTATCCTCGTTCATTTATGGATTCCGATGGCGATGGTATAGGTGACTTGAAAGGTGTGACCTCAAAGTTGGAATACTTGAAGGACATAGGTGTTACGGCAGCTTGGCTTTCACCTATATTTACTTCACCAATGGTAGATTTTGGTTACGATATTTCTGACTTTTACGATATACAACCTGAATACGGTACTATGGATGATTTTCGTGAGCTGATAGCACGCGCTAAGGAGTTAGACTTAAAAATAATTTTGGACTTCGTTCCAAATCACTCAAGTAATGAGAGTGAATGGTTCAAAAAGTCAGTTGCACGTGAACGTGGCTACGAAGATTATTATGTGTGGGTAGACGCAAGGTATGATGAGAATGGTAACCGCATCCCTCCAAGTAACTGGGTAAGTAACACAAAAAAGAGAAAAGAACATTAGTTTAAGTATATGCTTTTTTCATATGTAGTTACAAGCTTTTAGGGGCAGTGCTTGGGAATGGAATGAGCAGCGCCAGCAATATTATTTACATCAATTTACAGTGCAACAGCCAGACCTAAACTATCGTAATCCTGCTGTCGTTAACCAAATGAAAAGAATTTTGCGTTATTGGTTGGAGCAAGGAGTTGCTGGTTTTCGTTGTGATGCCGTACCTGTGCTTTTTGAGGTGCTGCCAGATGAAAATGGTATTTATCCGGATGAGGAGAAAAGTGGTTTAACAAACGACCCTGATGATCGTTCATATCTAAAATTGGATTTAATTGAAAATCAACCTGAAACAATTGATATGATATACCAATGGCGTCAAGTGATGGATGATCATCAACGTATATACGGCGGTGATACTCGCGTTTTGCTTATTGAAACTTATGCGCCGGCTTGGTATACTATGCAAATGTATGGAAATAGTACAACTGAAGGTGCTCACCTACCGTTTAATTTTAATTTAATCACTGAGTTGGAGAATGGAGTCAGTGCAACTAAAGTACTGAAGGCGGTGGATGATTGGCTATTGAATATGCCTGCTGGAAGAACAGCCAACTGGGTGGTTAGTACTATTTTTAGGATAAACAGCATATAAAAGTATTTAAAATATAAACTTGGCTTAATAGATGGGAAATCATGATAGAGGACGCGCTGCAACCAGATTTGGCCCGGAACGGGTTGATGCGATGAATATGTTGGTTATGATTTTACCTGGTGCGAGTGTCACTTACCAGGTAAGGTTAATATATTATATTCAATATATAAGAAATAGCTAAAAATGTATTTCTAATATTAATTAAAACATAAATATTTTTCTTGTCAACTGTTTTAAGGGTGACGAAATTGGCATGACCGATGGAGATGTATCCTGGGAAGAGTCAAAAGATCCAGCTGCATGCAATACTAATTCCAGTATTTATCAAAAATATAGCCGTGATCCAGAACGTACACCTTTCCAATGGAATACCGAAAAAAACGCGGGTATGCATTTCAATAATAATTATTTCAGTATTCCATTTTATTTTGATTTATATTTTCAACAAACACTTTCTTTTCGAACACTTTCAGGCTTCTCTACAGCAACTCAAACATGGCTACCAGTAGCCGATAACTATGAAACTGTTAATGTAGAAGTTGAGTTAGCTGCAGATCGTTCCCATATAAAAGTCTACAAATCTTTGGTGGAACTTCGGGACAGCTCAAAAACTCTACAGTACGGAGACTGGAAATATAAAGCACTGAATGAAAACATTTTTGTTGTAAAGAGGTAAGTTTGATAAGAATGCATAAAAGAAGAATTAAAATATTCGCGAATGATAAGGAGGGCTTAATTGTAAAATTAGTACGAGTATAAATTTGAATGAAAGGTTAACTTTAATGTTGCAAACATTTCTATAAAAAAGTGAACTGCTTGAAGTTGTCTTAAAACGAACAGACTTTCTTATTGTGATACTGAATGATCCTAGCAGTATCGCTATTACAATTATCAGTCCTTTTCGATTCATTTTATTGCTGTTAAACCATTGTTAGAATCACTAAGATAGCTTTTAAGTGATCCTTTCAGTGTACAGTATAGGGAATCAAATATATTATTATTATTAACAGTTTAAGGCACTTGTGAATGTGATAAAAGTAAAATTAAGCAAAGTTTTTCCAATTTTTAGCTAACAGAAATTTGTTCAATATTTTCTTAGCAGCCTGACCATGGTCGACATACTGTACATAGAGAAAAAGAGGAGCAGGTTGAAGGTATTAAAGATAGTATCAGTTCTTACTAGATACTAGACTATGGGACGATAGTGAGTCATTTATTCATTTTTATTGCCTAATGCAAACACCACTTTGAGTCCTATTAATTTTTTGCACTGAAGGATTTCTACCTCGATTTAGCCCAGTTTTTATTAAACCCACCACCCTCTCATCTATTCCTTGTCCCAAACCATATGTTTTCTTCTCGCTTACACTAAGCTAACTCCATATCTTTAACAATGTAAACTTTTGTTTAGTTCGTGTTTACCAGCCCAATTTATCTACCAGGTAGTATTTACCTATCTAACAGAACAGCTGTTGTTTTATTATCCAGGCTTATCTTGATGCAGGCTTAAACAAATAAGTACTCCGTTCTTCAATTTAGCGATATATTCGATATTAAAATTGACCAGATACACGTATTTCTCAATGAGTTCAGCAATTCTAATATGCTCTATTACAACAATAGCTTTCTTAGCTGAATGAGGAAGATTGTTTCCTTATGTGGGGAAGTCTTCTTATCTATATAAATACAAATATGCTCAACCAACTTAATCATGAAAATTTTTTATTTGTTTTACAAAATAGAGTATTATTTTTTTTAATTGACATTATTTTTGCAGATATTTATCAGGTTCAGAAACAATTATATACATCTCAAATTTGGGTGATAGTGCAGAAACGATAGACCTAACAACAAATTTTGATACAACCTTACCGGAAACCATGAATATAAAAATTTCCAGCGTTGATTCGAAGAAAACTGAGGGGTAAGGATTAAAAATATGTGCAGATGTTTACTTAATACTTAATAAACTAACCACGTTGTTTTTATTATAGTTCCACGTTACAATTGAACAATATATCTCTTGAAGTTGGAGAAGGTTTAGTTCTCAGCACTGCTTAAAAAGGTGGAGTAACTTATATTAGGAATGTTTCGTTTGAGCGGTATTTTTTAAACCGTTTGTACAGATCAGCTAATAATTTCTCAGCTAACACTATAAATATTTAAAATCCAACCGATATGCTGTATATATCTCTATAATCACAACATACTGAAAATGTTGAAAGAATCTTATTCTTTATTATAAGTTCATATAGGAAAAATTACTAAATAAATCAAATATAATACTTCTTTGATTCAGATTTTGTCCTTTATTTTATTTATCTCTTAAATTTCAGAATATTTTAATATTATTGATTTGTTTTTATAATACATTTATCAGTTGCATAAATTGTAAAATTTTGTTATATATATGTTCATATTTATGTACACATGAATACATAAATATATATGTATATATACATAAAAGTTTCACATAAAGATATTTTGTTGAAAATTTTCTTAACATTTTGGCTAGTTGAAGTAATATTAATAAAATATGTGTTTAATATTTAACTTTAAATTTAATATTTAATTATAGTTTTCAAATTTTATTTCAATTAACACAACGAAGCATATAAACAACATTAAAAATAGTTTTATATACAATACAAAAACTTATCTATTATTACTTACATTATTACTGGTATATAGTATATACTCGTATGTTGTGAGAAGTGCAATTATTTTACATTTATTTCAATAAACATTTAGATACCAATATTTACATGAACAAACTTAGTTTTATACAATGACATATCTGTTTAACGATATAACGATAAACACTGACTTAACGTTACTTGAAGCTTAAGATTATAGTTACAAAAATCCTTACGACTATAAATAAACAATTGTTGATGGCATATCCTTGACCGAAATAGTGCTTTTTTAAAGCTCAGTTACTTTCTTTACTTTCGTTCGAAGTTAATAATTTTGGTATTTCTTAGTTTGTTAATGTTGTGGGCTCATTCAACATTCAACACAACAAAGCACTTAGCAAAGCGCACTTCATCCACCCACGACTGGTGAGGATGCATTTGCTTTGTGGGTGATTAGGTTGCAGAAGGGATAAAGTTGTATCATAGTATCTTCACTCATAGTATCTATTTATATAGTAATTTAATATAGTATAGTAATTTAATTCTAAATATCATTTCATAGTTTCTAATCCCTTTTGAAACGTAATCGTTAGAGTAACATTAGTCTGATGACTTTATTAACTGTTGTATTTATTTACTCAGGATATACTCTTCAATAGCATAAAATAACAAATTTAATTTTTCAAATAATATCACATTTTAACTTTCGAACTTGAATTTAATTTATAACTAAAAGTATTACTAACAATTAAACTTATATCCCTACTTACATTATACATCGTATAAAAGGATAGCAATGACTACTTCAGAGTTTTAAAACACACACTTGTCTTTCTGAAGTTTTAATTGCTCTCTTCCGAAATGCTCTTAAGTACGTTATATGTTACTTATACATAAGTAAGTACATACACATGTTATGTTCAATTAAACCAGATTAAAATTATTATATACATTTAATTTAGAGAAGATTTTTAAATAATGGATTACTTGGCAGGAACTTGGAAGTTGCTAAGTTTAAGTGTACTAAATATGTAATATGTTTTTTTTTAAATAATCTAATTGAAAAACATTTCATATCTTATAATAGACAAGTAAATATTTGTAAGTATAAGATATTTTAATAAGTAATATTAGAAAAACTCAAAAAAGGTGAAAAGTGTTAAATATCTCAAAATGCATTCTTACTAAAATTAATTAAAAATAAGTAAATTGTTATGAGAAGCTCTTAACTGCAATAGACGAGAAGAAAGTTTTAAAATTGCAATTTTCTTCTGAATAGAACTTTATTGAAAAGGATTATTATAAATTTGTTATTTTATAATTTAGTACTTAAAAGTACACTTCCGGTTTTATCAGTCTAAATTATAGAACTAAAAGGAAGGAAATATCTTCTTAAGTAGAAAAACTTTATTAACAAAAATAAATATGAATGAATATATAATTTTAACATTGTTTATATATTATTTGTTTTAGTCTAATATATAATAACTAACTAATACCTTTTAAATTACAATTATTCAACTAAATGAATTCAATAAATAATAAATTCTTATTAAATATTAAATAACAAAACTAAATATAAAATAAATTCATAAAAGTAAAATAATAAAAATAACTACGAAAATAGTTATAATTAAAGAAATATATTAAATTAATTTAATAAATTAAAAAATCATATTATCAATGAATGGAAACAAAGGAGGGAATTAAAAATAACAGCTGGTGTTTGTGATTTTAGACTAACTAAAGCATGAGAAAAGGATTTTCTGAAATAAATACTCAAACATTAATAAATGGGATAAAATAAAAATCATAAGATATAACTCAAAGAGTAAATATTAATAAAAAATTTAAAAAAAAATTGTTCTACAAAATACAATTCAAACTCTCCTTGTATTGAGAGATGTTAAAACCCATTAGACATATAAGGACATATGCCACTGTGGACGTGTGCTAGTAGAAAGAGTATTGTGTTAATTCAACTCAATTAATCCATATTACAATATAGATTATGGATTTTTATAGATTATGGATCTAGATTATGGATATGGATCAATATGGATATATTGGTACAACCGTTACTAATGTATCTAAAGAATTCGTCAAAAAATACAAACTATGATTCATACGTCACGTTAATTTTGATGAATCTCTATTACCCTAGAGAAATGTTTAATAATTCAAATTAAGAACTGTACTACACCTCATTGGAAACTTATAGCAACAATTATATATTACATATAAATAATTTTTTGTTATTTGTCTTAATTGTAGTTTTATCGAAATTGTTAAATTTTTAAAAATGATTATTTATAATAATAATTATGATTATAAATATAATAATTATTAACTGAAATACTTCAATTAGCTACATTAGAATAAATAAAAAAAATTATTTATTTCAATATATCACGAATTTAATATAAACGTAAAGGGTTCGTACAGTAATAAAGAAATAACAGCAACAATTTTTAGTTAATTTATTAAAATTTGGCTGACTACAAAACGCTGTGTTGAGTATATTGTATATAGTATTTGCACTATATAACATAATGTAATATGTATAGTATTATAGCGTTGTATGGCTAGATAAATTTCAATAACTTACCTAAAAATGTTTGTTGTTATTTCTTCATTACTGTTCGAACCCTTTTAGTTTTTTTTCGTTATAAGACGTGTCACATTCGACAAAAAATTAATATTTAATATAAATAATTTATAATATGTCTTCCAAGAAATCCATTATAATATTTGTTAAAACTTAATATTAAAAATCAAAACTTTCAATTAATTAATTTATTTTTTTGGCATAGAAGTTTAAAGAATAAATAAAGTTTTCTCTCATTTTATAGAGAGAAAATATTTTAAATTTAATAAGTCTTAACCGGAAGCAGCGTAACTGTACATATGTTCATCTCATATATTTACATTTTTCTGTATGTACGAGTACTATATGTACCTATATGCTTAAGTACATATACTCATATATATATAACAATTTGATATTTGATATTTCTTATAACGCACAACACACAATAAATTTTTATAAATTGCCAAGAGAGTGATTGACCTTTAAGACTAACTATCATATAAATTTGTAGCCCAGTTAATTTTTTTAAGTCTTACACTGGGCAAACTCTTTTAAATTAAGTAATAAAGACATTATATTTCTTTTAAGTACCAATTACAAAGCAGTCGTTTGAGTATTGTTTGGAACAAACTCTCCTTATCTTCAGTAAGATAACCCCACCTACCTTGGAATCTTAAACGGCGATGGCACAACGTTTTTTATTATTGCTGCTATTGTTACTGTTGCTACTGCTGCTGTTCTGACTGTTGCTGCTGCTCTCAGTTGCCGTTGCTGCCATGTTGTTGCCGTTGTTGCCGTTGTTGCAGTGACTATACCAGCAATTACATTGCCATTATCGTTTTCGTTGTTGCTCATATTGCTGCCGTTGCCATTGTTACTGCACTTACTAATGCCGCTACTGTTGCTATCGCTGCATTTCATGCTCGCAGCAATTTGTTTGCTGGCGGTTTGCGATTGTGTGCTTTGTTGTGCCCTTGGCTATAAACTCGTTGTTGCTGTTTGGATACGATTACAATCATTGTCACAACTTGTCGTAGATGTTGCTGTTGTATGCTGCTGTAGCATGATGTGATTACCGAGTGGCGTAATAGACGCAGCACCATTTATTGCTGTCACTATTGTGGCTGAAGGTGTTGCTGCCACTGTTCCAATTATTTGACCATGTTGTTGCTGATTTATTTTATTATTGTTTGCAACAACAATTTGTTGCGAGCTCGCTTCCTGTATTATTACATGCTTTTCTTTGTCCTTGTGTGAGGGTATATCCTCTCTGTGGTTTGTTGGCACAAATTGATCGGCATAGGGTATTTGGTTGTAAGTACTGCTATCTATATTGGTAAATATATTCGATATGGCGATGGTTTGCGTCGCCATTTCACAGAGTTTTTTCGCCTTGCAGTTGTGCTCTTAACGAGAAAATTTCATATAGATTGGTTAAGTTAATCGCAGTAATTAAGTTTAGTTAAGTTTAAATAGTTGAATATCAATATTTTCTGAGAAGTCTTTTGTGCAATGCTTACCTGTGTTCGTTGGTGTGATATGCTTTTGTATTTTCTCTTCTTGCGCACAAGTTGCCGCCGTTACAACAGCCGCTGCCATCATTGAAGACGGGCCGGTGCCAGCGGTACGATGCATGTTCGCATAACGTGGGGGCATCATACTCTGCCGCACATTTCTCTCGGGGCGTATGAGTATTATATAGAGCTGCAAGAACGTAAAGAAAACATCGAAATGCAGTCAAAGTGCGGATATTGAGTGTGGAAATAAAACAAATGTGCTTCTAAAGCACTTTTATTTAGTTAAATGCTTAGTTTATCTAAGTTTATTATTTGCAAACACATTTAATTAACAAATAGAAAGCAGGATTTATTTGATATTTATTTTGTAGATTCAAAGCTAGGCTTTCATTTAGTAATGGATGAGATTTGAATTTGATACGGTGCTTGTTAATTTCTAAATAAGTAAACAGCCCTACAAATGCGAATCTAATCTTTTGCATTAAGTTGGTTTTTTTTCATTTTGTAGCCAATTTGCAAAATTACATTTTAGAGTACTAGGCAAATCAATACAAAATTCTGTTTAAAATTGAATGTGAAAGCTTTAGTTCTAAAAATATTTGAAATTTTTGTTCCGAAAGCAGTGACAGCATGTGTAGTTTGCTTCAGAAATGCAGAATGCGAAAACCACTCTGTGCAGCCTTTATGTTCTGTGTACATATGTGCCTTCATATGTGTCCATGCGTATAAATATTTTTTCAGGTTTCTAACAATATCAAAGTGTCATTTGCATACAACAGGGAGTAATTGCTGCTGCAGGCGAATGACAACAGTGCCTTTAGCATGAGCCGACAATATTGTGGTCCGTCCGTTCCATGAAGCAGCAACAATTGCACAAGTTTACAGGTTTGTGGGTTGGTATTTTTGCTGTAATTGTATCTAGTTTTTGTGACTATTAGATATAAACGATTTGCTCGTAGAATGCACACAAAACTGTGCTTTACAAAGCCAAAAGTCTAATTGCATTCTTTTAATACGCAATCAATTTTATTTGAAAAAAATGTAAAGAATGTTCTGGATGAGTGCCAGAAAGTACTGCAAAATAGCATAACTTATTTCTTCGTTTCGACCAATTCAAGCGCTACAGTTGGTACAATAGGCACACACACAACACAATTTTTGTGAGACAACATAATAAATAGGATCTATCTTTCTAGATTTAGATTCTCTCTTTGCTGCTCTCAGTGTATTATATGTAGCACTTACTATTGCAGATAAGATGGAATGATACAGCGATTCAAGCCAGTCATATAAATGAGGCCCTATGCTCCCCTTAGGAGAGAATTATTGTAGTAAGTAATAAATGAGAGTGAGTTTATGTTGAATTGTAATGTGAGATCGTATCGATAATAATGAGATATTCAGTCCTTCCTAGACTCAATGGAACTAGACATGTAAAAATGTTCAATGTAGTGACATTTATGAATTAGTATGTGTGTGAATAGTATGTGTATTGTGTACACTTTATATATTTATTATTAAGATTTACTGTCGCTTGCCATTTCATCATGACTTGGCATTTCATGTAAGTCAGTTTACATACAACAGTAGAAAATTCAGTGAGCCACAGGAGTGAACATAATATTTGTTTTAAATTAGGTTAAAATGGTAAAGACACACATAAAATACTAAAAAATATGTACAAGCACAGAGTTCATAGCTTTTTACTATAATAACCTGCCATTAGAGGTCAATACCACGGTGTTGTTAACACACGTATCAGTAAAACGTAACGATAAACACTGCCATAAAAATTAATGGGAATTCCACCAATACCAATTGAAGTTACACGTTTGACTGTTTTTTACATGGAAGGGAGCGAGGCAGATCTAATACTTCTGTTGCTTTTTTGGCAACTCCATATGGAATGAAAACATTGAATACAGCCATTCTACTCACATAACTTTGAGTTCTAACCACAGCCACCACGATAATCTTATTTAAGGAAATTATTTAAGCCAATCTCATTTACTCAGCTCGGCTGACACTGTGGGTCCTGACACTTGTGTTACTAGATTAATACCTCCGGTTGCGTGCTGTTAATGAAACTCAATCACTAACATTTATACTCAAAATATTAATGGGTGTGGGCTATTAAGTATCAGTCGCCCCTTACGACAGGCATGTCTTACCTCCAAAATACTATAACCCATTTCCCTTTGTAACTCTATGGTTAGTTTAGTCGATTTCGTAGTGATAATCGATTATAACTGCTAAAAACACTTTTAATCGGATTTTGTTCGAAGAGGAATCTGGTGAGCAAGAATGCACACGGGGATGTAAGTCATTAGAAACACCAAAGAGAATAAATTTTTCTTTTTAAGAGCAAAATCAATACAAGGCTGGCTGTTTTCTTTGACTGCAAGAGAATCATGTACAGTATATTTATTCAAAAAAGTCACATAGTCGACGTAAGATGCTATTTATCTATCTATATCTATATCTATTGTATGGCCAGAATTTGATGAGCTCAACCGCAATATCGAGAAAGGTTGTTGATTCTTTTTGCACAAAACTGTGTGAAAAATGGTATGTGAAATCTTGACTAAAACAGGAAACTTTCTTATTAATCATCCGTCCTAGTTAACTAATTTGTCTCTATGCTACTTCAGGCTACACCCCAAACTGAAGTTGACGACTTTGTGCTTAAGTTAAAGTACGCAAGAGAAGAAAGTGCACACCAACATATGTCTGCGTTAAGAGTATTTCTAGAACTTGTTAGATCGGATTTGGGACAGGTTATGTGTGTAGGTTTAAGAAACTAAATCTAAAATGTGTCTGAAATTCAGTTTGTAGCTCACTTTATAGTTAATTGCAGGGAATATGCATATGACACACTGTAAAAAATATTTTGTAAAAAAATTATTTATTTTCCTCCTTCACATTTTATTCGATGTAATAACCTTTAGTCGGATTAATTTTAAATACAATATTCTTCATTGATTATAAACACAAGTCACCATTTTAGCTAATATGATATAATGAGAGAGAGTTATCATTAGTTAAGTCATATTGTGAGAAGTTGAAATAATCAAGGATGTTACTGAAAAACAATGCTCTACGACTTTCTTACAATTGTCTTCATTTTATGTTATTAAAATAGTTCCGTTGTTAAGATATACCACTTGAGGTATAATAAAATTTCTTTAAGTAGATAAAATAAAATATTTTCCTTTTATTGTTCGCATCAACAATTTCTTTACTAACAATGAAATTAAGGAAATTAACTATATTTAATAACGTAATTTTGGAAACCACATCAACTTGCATGACATATGATTTCCCAAAGGAACAATATCTAAATTTTTATATAAAGTTTAAATTATTTAATATCTAAAAATAACGACTGAGTGCGGAGTAAATCACTTACCTTTGGCGAAAACAGACACGCTATTGTTACGCTCGCCGACAAGCTGATGGTAACCGACATGGATGTTATTCTCAGAGGCACATGGTTAGCAGTGCCAAAATAAAGTGGCACAAATGCTAACCAAATGACGCATGTTGTGTACATTGTAAATCCTTTGAGGGAAACGATAAAGCAATTACAAAAGATTGCAGTACCAGCACCAGCAACAGCACCAGCACCAGCGCCAGCATGAACGGCAGTACCAGGAACGGTGGGAACATTAACCAAAATAGCGACAGCAGACATAGACCGAACAAACGAACAACCGAACAACCGTACAACATATAACAAATTTTATTAACATTTGGTTTCGTTATTGTTGCCATTAGTGTGGATAGAATGGTCGCCATTATTGTTGAACATAATTGGTCGTAGCCACAAATTCCACAAATTCCAGGTACATATGAGCGAAGTATTTTAGTACCATCATTAATTTCATTGATGTGTGCAGACGTAATAAATGTTCCGCAATGTTGTTGAAGCAAATTAATTTGAAGTTGACATAGAATAGAGTAATAAAGAAAATTGTATGTATCAGATACTTGTTTAAGTGCTATTAATATAACATCAATTTGTCTAAGTCTAAAGCAGAAAAGATGCATTATCATCACAGCTATATTTTAATATAGATACATATTAATTTATATTGGATTTTTTAAAAGTATTCCTAAAATTAATGTAGTTACTTTCCTCGCATGAGGAATTTCTCTGACAAATTTCACTTAACGCTTCAATTAATCTGTGTAGATAAGTATCTCAATGCTTTATTATGAACTAGAAACTAAAAGCACATCATACATTTCCTTCTGTATTATTTGTGTTTACTTACCAATATGTTTTGATTCATTAAATGCTTCTGGTATTTTACGTGTTAGCACTGCGTAAACAGTGCAAATCACAATTAGCACGATTGGGTAGAAGAACGCAATCATGTAGGATGCATCAATGTACGAGTCACAGACAAGCAGGTTATCCTCACGCGTTGGGTGATGGTACATGGCATGCGACGGAGCAATCACCATCCAAACGCCATTGATAAGTATCTGGGAAATGGTCAGAACAAAAGTATCTAAGTGCTTCTGGCATTTTTTGTTTTTTATTTTTTCATTTTTACTTTTTTTCATTTTTATATTTCGAATTGTAAACAGAAACATTAAATGTGTGAAATACAATAGTTCAATTTATTTCAAATTATTTTATATTTATTTTTGTGTAATATTTATAAAATTTTATATTATCTATATATAAATAAAATAATTAGAAAAATTGTTCACACCTGCACAAATATTAGAAACGAGCAAATAACCAGCTGTGATTTTGGGCTGATGAAGGAAGGGCGCTTCGCAGATTGCTTTCCAGCTTTGAAAATTCGAGCTATGCGGTTCGTTTTTGTGAGTAGTGCAGCATAGACAACCGTGAAACAGAATCCCACGCTGAAGCTGTGAATAAGTAAATTATTAAAAAAAAAATTAATTATAAATTGATTCAATAATGTTTAATTTGCATAAACATAACATAAAATTTCGCATATTTATAATATTAATGTTTTTATAACAGCTTGAAACTGTTGATATCGAAAGGAGTGATGCATAAATAAAATTGAATTGAGTCCATATTTTATATTTTAATTTTTTATACAAATTTTTTAATTATTGAAAATCACAACATCATGACGTCATTTAAATAAAAATTGCATTAGAAATCGGCACTATCATCTCTATATATTATTATATATATTTATATCTATGTGTTTAGTCCGTTGTACATTGTAACTACAAGAGATAATGTTTGGCTTCTCTTTGGAAAAAGGGCATAGAGTTCTTAAATTGCTTTTTAACAAATTGCTTATTTATTTTAATTTCGATTTTCATTTTATTTATTAATAGCTTTGACATCTTCAAAAATTCTATAAAAATAAACTAAATGCTTTTCTCTTTGTCATTACTACGAAGTTACTTTAAGTTTCCAGTGATGCAAACCGATTCAGATAGATCTTTCATCCTACAGCTGAGAAAAGTTAAATAAAAAACACTTTGCCACCTCCCCCTTCCTCGGGGGAGGCTGTAATCCCTAGAGGACGCGTCGCGGATACCTTTCCCGTTATCGGATGGCAGGAGGGAAATAAAATATCTCCCGCGGACCAAACAGTTGGAAGAAGGTCACTTCCTTAAAAACCCCTACCTGCAAGCTACCCACTGGATATTTTGAGGTGGTAGGTTGCGGATAGAGTTACATGCTTAGACAGGAGTCTGTAAAAGAGATGACGACGGAGCAACCGTAACTGGTCAACAACGGCGCTCGTATACCTTCAAAAGAAGTACTGTCACAATATTTACTGTCGATCTGGAGGCAACAGTTGGCAGCACCAACACCAGAACCAATCAATCTTAAACCAACTGATTAACGAAACCGTAATAAATATGCGGCCCTATGCTCCTCATAGGAGTTAAAAGAATCAGTATATATATATCTGTATATACTTAAGTAAAGGCCAGAGTATTTCTCTAATATCAGACGGCACTGGAAGCTCCCACCACAGCATCCTTTTCCATCTTCAGGTAAAATCTAGACAGTCACAAGGAATATGAATACCGTAATAAATATGCGGACCTATGCTCCTCCTAGGAGTGAAAAGATTCAGTATATATATATTTATATATATATATATATATATATATAAAGGTCAGAGTATTTCTCTAATATCAGACGGCACTGGAAGCTCCCACCACAGTATCCTTTTCCCTCTTCAGGTAAAATCTAGACAGTTACAAGCAATATGAATAGAAGTCTTATTCCGCTTTCGTCAGAGGTGACATTCTGCAATCTCAAACAGTTTCATCTTGTGGTGATGGTTGCATAGATGAAGAAGTTGTATGAAGTAGTTATATCGAGGTGTGAAGTTAAAAAGCCCTATTTTATTATAAACCACCAAAGGTCCCTATGAGCTTAGGTATACATTTGAGGTTACTTAGTCTAAAAATGAATACTTTTCTCTTACTTACCGTTGTATAGCGCACACAATGTTCGTTGGCTTCAGCACCAAAGCAAAAGTAACTGCATAACACATTAAAATACCCGCTAAAAGAATATAGCTCAGTTCCCGGCCAGAAGCGCGAACAATTGGAGTGTCATTGTGCCTAAAAGTATACAAGTTCGCCATTATTCAGGCTTTTATGCTGTAAAAATGCGGAATTAACACGAGAGGCATTTTTTATGATTTCTGTTGCCGGCAAATTTATTATGAGGCCATAAAATGCCGCTGTAGCAGTTTGAAGTTAAACTGCAAGAAACAATATTCGACCAACCAACCAATTCCTTAACCAAAAACTCGTAAAAATTTGCTAATGAAGATTTAAAATTTTTGCTGGCAGCTGCTTGACTTCAAAATGAAATTTTTAATGGTTTTTGGTTAACTTTTTAATTTGTTTTCAGTTATTTTGGGTTATTTTTGAAATAACATAAAAAGGTATTAAAATAAGTATTTAAGCTTGAGTAAAACTGAAATCTATAAATAACTTACATATTTAATACTTAAGCAATTTATTCAAGATTTGTTTAAGATTGTCATATCCTTTCTTATGGCTTATGTTATATATATATTTTCCACTCACCTAACAAATACACCCACAACAAAAAGCGTCACCAATATGCCAGTTGCACTAAATGCCATAGCTCCAATCGCCCAGGCTGATTCTGGGCGTAAGTAAACTTCCGGTATTGTCTGGCAAAATTGTTTGCTGATATCGGGCAGGGTGCCTAGTTTACATGTAAGACATTGTGTCTCATCCATTGGATGTCGTATCTATGAAAAATAAACAAGTTGGGAAAACAGTTTAACAAAACACAAATAAAATGTCAATGTCAGCAGATCTTTTGCTGTATTTTATTGTTCCAAGGTAACAACGTATCTATTTACTACGTATTTTATACTATTGACTAATGATTTCTTTATTTACTTAACATTGTATCGATAATGGCGTTTTTATGTAAAGGATAAGAAGGATAAGTTCGCTATAGTAAGAGGAAAATGATTTGTTGTCCACTTCAATAGACGGGCATGATGAAAAATTTGTATTTTTACAATAATTCCGATAATATTGTTGATATGTTCGATAATGATAATGATAATGCATAAGCTGATACTTGTAAAGTATCTCATAGATTCTTAGTGTTATTATATATCGTTTGAAAGTTTCTTTTATATTAAATTTTTACACTTAAAAAATTTTGTTAACAAATTTTATTTTATTAAACAATATCTTATTTATATGTGTATTTCATTCTTTAAATGTTTCTCTATGTACTGAAGTTCTTAAATTAAAACACTAGCCAATAATATTTTAAATTCAATTTATCTGAGAATTCTCATAGAAATGCAATAATATAGCTTTTGTTGTGTTCTCAGCAAAATCTTTTCATGATTCTAATTTTCAAATAAATTTCCGATGTGAAAAAAATTTGCACAAATAAATTGAATTTCATGGTTATTCAATTCCAGTGGTTTCTTTTGGATTCATTCTGTTCACTTACTTGGTACATGGAGCAGTTGAAACAGTGCCAACAACAGCTTTCGCCCTCAACATATTTTTTCGCTTGACCACGTTCGCATGGCAGACTGCACACGGACTCAGGTGGCTTCGGATGCAACAGTTTAAATTGCACTTCTGTGGATGCACATATATAAATCACAAATGGCTTACATTTAAATAAATCATTCGTTTTAAGCTTAAATACAATAAATAATGTAATATAATATAAGTTAAATATAAGAAATTATAGATTGCAAGAGAATAACTATCTTTAGTTTTTATTGTACATATTGTAATTTTGGTTAATATCATTTAAATGAATTAATTAAATAAAATTAATTAAATAAAATTAATTAAATTTTATATATAAACTAATAAATTAATCTCATTTAAGCTGCAGTTAGTGATTATTATCAATAATACGGTAGCACAATGTGCCTATGGGCCTAAGTGGATCCCCCTAGGATCATCAGTATAACCTAACCTAATTACGTATGATAAACGTAAATGCATATTAAATTTTGAAACTATCGAACAAATTTTAAATTAGTTAAGTCGGTTAAGTAAGTCTTAATATCTCTACATACTGCGATATGAAGAAATCATTGTCATACTTTAAACTAGCAGCTATATTAACTCGAAAAACGCCTTAGAAAGTACATGGTACACATAGACCGTATTGCTAGGGCGGATATAAATATGCACAAATTTTAATAAAATCAGAAATAATGCTTTTAACCATGATTGTAAAACAATGATATGATTCTAGTGATAAATATTTGAAGTATGCTAATTTTAAAATTATTTTGACTTATTTTGTAGTCATTCTAAAACTAAGTTTACTAATTTATTCGCCTGTGAGATACGTATTATCCTACCGTAAAGTAGGTTCTATACTCCTTTTTATTGACGCAACAGGGCTTAGAGATCTACTCTAAACCCAGAAGAAAGCACAATAGATCCGACAACAATAATAATAATACGTATTAACCTATAGCTCTTCATAGCAGGTGGAATTAAACCTCTATGTTGATTTTGAAGTAAGCAACTCACCTGCAAACAATTTAAGGATAGTTTGAAGCACTATTTTTGAAACTGAGCAACTACACTTTTTTTAAATATTTCTTAATTTGACCCACACTCAGCGTGCTGTAGTTCTAGTACGCCACTCGATATCTGAATCTGGCGAGACTATCACAGTGACACAGAATATGTTCTGCTGTTTAATTTTTTTCGTAATAAAGTCTACAGTTATCGCCTCAAGTAATATCTGGGTTTGATAAATGCTTTTTGAATCCGCAATGCTTAGTGAGAAACCTTGTGTTAAGTCGGATACCACTTCTGTTCAGCATAAGTAGCTCCCTAGTTCTGACTTTTGATCTATTCGGCATGGATTCTTTAGCTTATCTGCAGGGAATGGTATTATCTCATTCAGTTTGAGCTGCTCTTTTCAGCCATAAATATCACTAACTAAGTTACGTAATAGATTTTTTGAATGGAATACAAACCTAGATAAATAATTTTCATTAAATGTTTCTAAATATATTAACTGATTTTAATGGTCTCTCTTTAACAACTCAGAAAAGTTGATTATAAATCAGAATATGTCATTAAATCCAATCCAAAATAAAGTTTGTGCCTAGTAATTTTAAAACATTCTTGTAAGTACATAGTAGAATCCAAATAATCCACTTAAAGTTCCTTTACGGAAAATTTCACAAACAATAAAAATTGAAACAAGAACTAAGTGAAGAATAAACAATGTGTGTTATGTGTAATTCTCCCAACAGTTCAGGCATGCCATCAGCAGATTGTCACAAACATGGAAGAATTCCGAATAACTACAAACGAAGTCATTGACAGAGATTTCAACTGCAACGATACAGGATACGTAAAGGATTTTCTTGTAATTTAATCAATGCAATATGTTTACTGCAAGCTGAGAGTAATTCTGTTTCTGTTGAAAAATAAAATATCTCCATAATAGCATACATATGCTATGTATGTGTATATTGGATGTAAAAGCATTTACAGAAGAATGCTACCGTTCAGCTGTGCTATTTTCCATGATGAAATTTAAAAACATAAAATATCCTGAATTAAAGTAAGCCGAACTGTAGCAGCTGTAATTACCATTGTTGCGAAAATCAATGCCGTATCCTTTTATCACCGAAATCAGGATAGAGTGCTGTCATTCACATTTTGTGACAGATTTTGTGGAACTTTAAATGTATCACGTGTTTATATTTAATTAACACCGTACAGATTAGTGACGGATTATTATTGATTTCCATATAAATTTGTTGAAAATTTTGCTTGTCATAATGAAATTTTGACGTGTATGTATATATTCTGAAAGCACTCCACATATCCATATATACAGACTGAAAATAGTACGGTGATATATTTGCATGATTGTTTTTTAGTCAATTAATTTCTTTTGTGTAGTAGCATCGAACGGAATTAAAATATCATTTAATAATTCATTATTCTTCACACAACTGATGTGTCATTTAATATTCATTTGATTTTGTTCACAATTCCATTTCCAATAAATATTTATTTAAAAAATTATTCCACAGTGGACCGCAATTCCAGTTCATTTATAGTTTTTTCAGGGTTTCTTTGTGAATAATTTCTAGAGTCCGTGTCAATGATTTTTTATATAGGTATATTATTTTTTGTTTTCTTCTTTGGTTTATTAAATTTTATTCATAGAATCTCATTAAATGCTTCAAATTGCATATATTTTACGTTCATTTTAGCGCTAGTTGTTAGGCTAGTGGAGTGGATGAGGTCGGCTTCCTTCGCTTAGTTAGAGAGCCCTTGTAAAATATATTCACTGTAAATTCAGTGCAAATTTGGATGTTTTAAAATTCATTGTAGAACACAAATATTGTAGTAGTATAAGTATTGTAGTTATGTGGTAACATAGTATATGAGTATTGCAGTCATATGGAAGTGTAGAAGAATAGCGCTCAACTTAAGGTAGAATTAAGCAAACACGCCATGTAAACTAATTTAGAATTAAGAGAAAGAGGAGAGTAGATGTTTGTATTTCTACGAAAATATGTAACTGGTTTCTAGTTTGAAGTTACTAGAAGGTGAATTCAGATGTTTGAATATTGATCTAGACAGGCTTTGATAGTATAACAACCCATATTCGGGCATCTCGTCAAGTACACCTGCAAACACGAGCTGTGGAAGTTTTATTCGGAAAAATTTACCATATGTCATGATATAAGATGCTTTAATCATGTTCCTATGGTTTAAGTGTGAAGTCAGATCTGTAAATCAATCATTGTATGAAACTGGCAGAAATAGGAATGAGTTTATTATATTTAGAAGTCGTTAGTTTATTAACTACTTCTACTTCTATTTGTAGTTACTTCTGCCACATTAATCCGTATAAATAGAATCTCAAGTTACAGCAGCCTTTGAGTCTTTACCCAGTGAGTTAATGTTTCGTCTACGTCCTTGAAGAAAGATATAGGCAAAATTTGTTAAGTTGAATGACGCTAAAATAATTTTAATATCAGTTCGCCTATATTTTAGGGCATGAACTTCATTTTCATTAAGACAAACGTCATAGTGAGAGAGCAGGTATAAAATTATTGTGTGTAAAATGACAATCATTGTTTACTGATAAAAGTAATTATAAAAGTTAAGTTAATTAATCTTTTTTTTTAAATAACTTAAAATATTAAACTTATTCTGTAATTAGGCAATACCAATGTATATTTTAATGTATGAAAATCGTTGGCATTAGGAACTCAAGGATTTTTAACTAATCAATCAGTGCGATTAATGCGATTATGAAATAAATTTTAATCTTACCTGACATATTCAAACGTAACTCGCCCTCGTAATATTCACCCACTTTAACCCAATGATATTGTCCTTCTGCTGATTGCTTAAAATGGATTATGTTGTATCGAGCTGGCCCATCTCCATTTATATCAAATCGAAACTCATCTCCACTGAGTCCTTGAAATAAATAAGGGCAAGTAATGCAAAAAATATTAATTTTTTTTGACACTTAAGGAAAAATAAATTTTCTTGCTTGTAATTTAATAATTTTTTTTCTTATAATTTCCAGAAAATTGGTTGTAAAATGTATGTGGGTGGGTCTTGTGGGAAAGTTTATTTAAATCAAATCAAAACTTTTACTTGATTTTGAAATTTTATAAGCTAAATCATTTAAAATTTAACTTTTGTGTAAATTAAAAACTAATCTAATATAGAAGTATAAAAATAAAGCATTTCTGCTACGAAACTGCACTCTCGAACTTTATATTCTCAGCTCCCAATACGCTATAACGAAGCCAATTTTTCACTTAAACGCTTAACGAGCTAAGCTTGTGGAAATGTGCAGTGTTAAACTAAGTGACTGGGTAAGTCGAAATGTGTTTGGTGTCAAGAAAAGTCTTTAAGCTTTTAAAATCGTTATTTCATGGTAGCTTGGCTTACCTTGAAACTCGACCTTCCGCAAAAATCTCAGCAAATCGGCACCTTTTGTCGGCTTCATGGCATCACATAGCAAGGGTTTGCCACCGCATAAAGCACGATGCATATCCCTGTAAAATATGGATTTCAGTAAAAAATATTTTAAATTTGTTTTGTATTAAGTATAATGGTTGATACAATATTTTATATAAAAACATTTTAAATCTAAAGGTTTATTCAAACCAATCTATTTTTTTTAATAAAAGGGGAACTTATTTTCCCCGTTTATATATTTGAGCAAATTAATTTGTAAATTAATGATTTGATCCAAGAAAGTTATTTTCATTGACAAATCATATAATTTCTAAGTGAAGTCTTTAATATATTCTCTTGACTTCTAGTAACTCACCTCAAAGCATATGCAAATGCCATAACTGCATCACTCACGAATTGAAGTTGGTCCTCAAAGTCAGTATTTTCTCGTGAAAGTTTCTCCTTTGTGGTGCATGTACGATTATAGTTGTTGTATGGTGTGCTGAAGCTACCTGGATAGCGACATTGAAAATGGTCCTCCCAAAATTCTGCAATATTTAGAGTACAAACTTATTTTCTAGAATCAGGCACTGTTTGAGTTGCATTGTTTTTGTTATATTAAGGTAACATTAGCAATGAACTTATATTATTCCTTATATTGTAAAAAGAAGAAAATACTTCTCATAAATTTTTCAGTTTGATGGAGTGTAGGTTTATCTGAGGAATTAAATCACGCTGCGTTATATCTCTTAGATAAGAAAGAACAGGGTATTAGCTCCCATTTGAGCAGAGCACCGCGACCATGATTGATCTTTTGTGTTATATCTCTTACATTGATAAATAATAATGTTTTTGAGTAATTTATTTCTGAATCAGTAATCTTGTCTTATTATGTTGGAATAATTAAGCAAAGTTGAATAATCTCGAAATATTTTGATTTAAATTATTCAGTTCTCTTTGAGAGTAGTAAACAACATTTATTTAAAAGCTCAAATAATTATTACATTGTTTGAAATATTTCATATTAGTAAATAATATCTATCAATCTCTTTCTATGTCTTTGCTTACGACTAGAAATGAAGCAGTTTCAATGTTCAAAAGACTGTTTCTTTGCCGGCCTAGCAGATTCAGCGAAAGTTAACTTATTGGATCTCCTTAACTACATCTAAAAAATCAAATGTTTTAATAACGATATTATATGGAGCCTTCCTCGGGGCTTAGTAAGGTACCGCCGGCATCGCTAAACCCGATGGCATTACAATCTTCAATTGGTACCCGTATTGATACTACGAATCCAACTACTTCGACAGCACGCACAACGGATTTGGAGGTGCGAAACTTACGTTTAAAGAGAATCAATTCGTTAGGTACAACTGTAATCTCTATGGCCCAATGTTCCCCTGGGAACGTACTGGAATGAATTATATGGAGCCATAGCCATTTTGGAAACTATTGTTAGTATAGGTCGTTTCCTCCTGATAATTTCAAGGACTTCACAATAGTTGTTTTAGAGTGACTTAGTTAGATTTTTAAAGTCTAATCTAACCTGATAATAATCGAATATATTAAGAAAATGTTTATAAGATTGGACGAATTAGATACCAAACATAATAAATAACTTTTATTTTTTTTGGATAAGATAGAGATTGATACCGAGAATAATTAAAATTTTTATTTTCTTTCTGTTTTCTTAAAGTACAAATAATTTAAGAGTAACATAAGGATTAAGCGAATGTCTTATTATATGTTGTATAAGTTATTGTATGTTGTATGTTGTAGGATAAACATATTTAAGAAATATTTAGGTTAATTAATTTAATTTACCTGTTATAAAGGAATTAAATAATATGTTTCGAGAAATATATTGTCTCTAATATTAGTACATTTCTTAGTATAAGTACTTGATACTTACATGTCTATGCATTACTTTATGATAATCTTGTATAAATAGTGTTTTAGATAAATTTACTTACCTACAAACCAAGGATTGCGTTGGTTGTTTTCAACAGTTAAATTGAGGAAATATTCTTCAAAACCCCTTACTGGATTGGCCTGAGGTTGTACGGAAAGTGTTCCCTCAACCTGGAAAATATTATAAATATTCAAAAAATTTACTTAAGTTGATATGTGAGGCCAAAATATTATGAATTCTTTCTTTGGTATTAAAAATGATTGCTTTAAATATAAGAATCTTTAAATACTTTAGAAGCAAATTATTGCATACATGTATATTTTTGTAAAAATTGAGTATCGCCGACACTTAACAGATATATCCTATAGTAAGTTACAGTTCGAACACAGAAATATATATTGAAAGCTTTATAAAATATAAGTACATAAATATTTAAAAATTTAAAGGTAGGTCTTAATGCACAGTACAAAATTATTAAGGAAGTACTAAGGTTAATTTCTAGTTCACTTCGTAGAACGCAGTAGAATGCAGCATGACTATGCAGCATAACATGTAATAAAATGGCAAACTAGAGATTATTGAAGCTCATAATATGAATATATTTTTTTATAATTTGTGTATATATTAATGGATTTCTTGTTAAAACCGATTTTAAACAGTGAAATAATCTACTGAATTCATATGTCCATCGAATTTTATTCATTAAAATATACAATGTTCGATTAAATAGTCATTTAACACAGCCATATTTTACTTAATCACGTAATCTATTTCTGTAAATATAAAAATACAAAAATAAATCTACTGGTGCGTATTGTTAATGTTTCAACACTCCCTATTTCCAATGATATATTACATATTAAAATGGCAACCCAATCATTTGTATTGTTTCCGCCTAAAAGTTGACTACTCAGTTTAATAAATTTTTTTACGAACAATTAATTTCAATTATTTAATAATCAATCATTGCCTCGTTTTATGGCCATTCTGTACATACTCGTAGAGAGTTTGCATAAGCTGTATGTATATAATACAAGCATATATATTTCATATATCTGCACATCCTCGTATATGTTTGTACTGTTTTCCCACAATATCGTGTTTGAGTTTTTGCTTAAAGTTCATTCGCCAGCTTTCATCTATCATTTTGCAGTTATTATCTTCTTCATGCATATTCTCGCAGGAATCATTTATCAAATTTGTTCGTACCAAAGTTCATAATTTTTTACATTGTCTGCGGTGGAAATTTGTACATGCGTGGAGCAAGATCATTAATTTTATGGTAATGGTTGTGGTAATAATTTGGTCGAAATTTTATTTTGTTTTTATGTTTAAAATTTTAAGTACCTCTGGTTCGTTGCCATCAGAAACGAGATTCCGCGCACTCCAACCATCTGACCCAATCCATGAAAAGGCACCAGTTGCATTGTTGCGACGAACAGCTCGCATTACTTCACGCACTTCCTGATCCGAACCAAATATAATGGCGCCTAAAAATGGTGTAAATAATAAAATAGATTATGCAGAGTCAAATATGTATCAAGTAAAATAGATACATGGATTATTGGCACATTTCCAAATAATAATTGGAAAGGGTTGGATGGATATGATTCAAAAGCAATAACCAAAAGAAATTGTTAGAGAATAAAAAAACTACTTTTATTTGGTGTTTAACTTAATAATTTAATATATTTTATTAATAGAAAAAAGAAGAATCAGGTAAATATTTTTTCCATATAGTAATTAAAATAAGTAGATGAAATTTATATTTATATTTAATATATATATTTATAAGATATTGTGGAAACCATAAACTGTGACCTGAAGATCTATTGTGTTACCTATCTTAATCTATCTAAATGTCTATCTAAATGCTTTTTCTGCTTATTTATAAATGCCGAGAATCAATGCGTTTTGAGACTTCTACAAAACCAGCAAGTTCCCAGTTTTGTAAGGTCATTCTTTAACTTTACAGTGCTTTTCAAAATGTATATAAAGATTTTTACTTAGAGACATACAATTCTTTAATCATTTTAGATTAAAGGCTCCTATAAGAAACTTTGATTGTGATAGGTTTGATTTATTTCTTCCATTCTTTCTGAAAAGGTCAGAAGAAATTACCACTTCGTAAGCCACAAAATGGTACTGGCGATACAAATAGCGATACTATTCTTTTCTTTCAATTTGTTTCAATTTTTGTAATTTGTAATCGAATGAAACTTGACTGCGGAAACTTTCCTTAAAGATCAAACGAGACTATAAAGTATTTATTACCTTAAGCGTGATAACTCGAATTATGTAGTGATTAATGATTAAGTTATTTTAATAAACCTTGATCCTTTATAAGGAATAAATGATTGAAATAATATTTGCGAGTTCTTTTGATTATTTCAAAGAATGTGTTCTCCTAATTCTATTATCACAAAAGTATGGCTGATTGTTTGAATGTTTTCAATTTAATCCAAAGCATGTATTTTATAAACAAACTATTTGATTAACATTATTAATTATTAATCTTATTAGGAGTACAATTTAAATTACTTAACAGTCATTTACTAAGAATACTATAATTGTAGTACTTAGTACTGGTGCGTAAATAATTTAATATCCTTCACCATATAAGTATCAATGTACATCTATGAATACAAGCTTAATTGCTACACACTTGGGCTTGAATTAAAACAAATAGTATTTAAATTCAAGTATTCGTATTAATTGACATCTTCTTAAGGACTCTTAATCAATTTGTGACTTCACTTGGAGTTTGTAGTGTGGCCTAAATTGAATTCAAATGGGAACAATGAAAGTAAGACGTACTGAAATGAGAGTGAAAATGTTCCATTTTAATACATAAATACAAGTTCATTGTTAAAAGATATGTCTAACGTCTGCTGTTAATGTTGACTAATAAATAATGACAAATATGCTTATTGTTGTGATATTTGAAGCAAATAAGAAGTAAGTAAGAATTTATAAAGTAGAATGAATCAAATTTAAGAACCTCTTATCAAAATCTTAAGCAACGATGGCAGCGGTTTTTACTTCAACTTCGGCAACAGTAGCCAATTTCCAACAGCTTAATTCGAACTGGCGGAAAGAGCACCCAAATCAGTAGCAAGCAATATGTTCAAGAGGCGATAGATGGGTCAGCAGAGCATTTCCACTTGAATGCCTGCACATTTATTTCAAATTCATCCTGAGATGTTGCGTACTCGCACAAGTGACGTACTTTGTTGCGAATGGCTGCTAATGATAGCTGGCATAATGGCCACATTGTTTCTGGTGCCTTGAATGCTACTGATGTTGCTGATGTTGCTGCTTTTGAAGATGTCCGCTGTTGCTATTACATTGTGCACTGCTTTATACCTTCGCTATAGCACAGGCACCAACAGCAGCAGGAACAGACACGAGTATTTTTTTCTTCTACTCCAACTTATTGCCTCAAGTATTTCTGGTCATTGTAATTCCGGTCATTGTTTTTCTAACCTATTTTTTGTTGTTTGTATTAGCACTGATGATATTCAGGGAGTCAATAACATGGCATAGAGCAGCTGCTGTCGACACATCCTATTTTCATTACACAACTTACTTTTTGCTTACGAATTTCTCATATCCGCTGTTTCCGCTAGGACACTGGTATTGTGCTTTTGTCTTTAATAAAAAGCAAACTCATCGATTTCATTTACTGTGAGGCAGAAGCAAATCAACCATCGAAGTCGAATTATACAATTCTTAATATTGTAACTTTTTTTATCTTGATATTGTTCCTGATAGGGATAAGAATATTGTAGTGATGTAAACTTTAAGTTAAGGCACGTTTAGGACTGATGGGACTATTAAACAAAACATAAAAAGCGAATACTGCTTTTAAAGTGCAGAATCAGTAGTCAATTTCTGAATTATCAGACTAAACATAATGCATTAGGATCTTTCGTGAATCCATTATAACGTAATGGTTAAAAATAATGACGAGAAAAAATATTGTATGTACTCCTCAGAATAACCTTAAATTTTCAAAATTTAGACTTGTTTTAAGAATCCAATAGTAGTATCTTAACTTTAAAGGTTAAAATATAGCACATGTAGTTGTCACTATTTATGATCTTGAACTTAAGTGTTACTCTACACCTACTTAACAAAAGATGGTTATAACTTTATTTTTGATGAATATTGCTACTTAACATATAAAGCAACTGCAAGCATAGAATACTACTATAAAGTCTGATTCAGGTCTTCCTCAAAAACAAAATATTAAGCCGGAAAAATGAAATGGTCATCTGCATAGTACGGCAGCTAAATTTACCTGCAAACATTTTAAACCTTCACCCTAAGGAAGACGTTCTTTATATATTTTAGAAACTCTAATACTTATAGCAATCTCTATGGAAACCATTATCAAATACATAAAGGTTTATTCGTGTTACTATTTAGTAAAATAAATATTCATTCCAAGAATTCTTAAGCTTCATTTGAGAGAAGCTTTACCGATATTTGTTGGGTCATACTTTAAATAAAAAAAAAGATTTGCAAGAAAAGTGTAGTAGGTGAAGCTTTTTCCAGTGTCGATCAAACGAAATGTGTTCAGACGAAGGGATAAATTATTGCTTGTAACCGATCCCATTATATTACTTGAATGTCAACAGTTAAATTTTAAAAAGACAAGACGATTTTGGTCGGTTCGTTTATTCAGTAAAGAAATCAATGTCCAATTTAGTTTAAATTAAAAATTAAAATAAATTTTTAATTTTTTTGTAATCTTAAATAAAAAATTAAATAAAAATCTTTAAAAAGCAAATCCAAAAAGTATTCACTTTGGGAAACAACAGGAAATGGCGAACTTCCAATATTGGTTTCTATAGTCGATTTGGAAACTTTATGGCATTATTAGTGAATACACACGCAACATCCGCACGTCAGAGAAGTAAACAAAAACACGAAGAAATGTTACAACATGTGTTGTCACAGATGGCGCTAGGAAGCACATCCTTCCTTCGTACCTTACAATTTCTTATGAAATAAAAGATTCATTTAACTTTATCTGAAACGGAAAACTTATACAGGAAATTGGAAAAGTATGTGTTATTCTGATTGACAAAGGATATTTAACTTAATTCAATTCATTTTACTCTTGTTAAATGTGTTTTGTTTTGTTTCGCCTGTACGGATAAAAAGAAATCTGAATTACATGATATAAGATTAGTAAAAATATTTAATATAAGCATTTTCAAAATTTAACTTCAGCAAATTTGATGGATAATTGTTTTATAATTAAACTTTTATATTTTGCAATAACTACGATATACTTATAAAATATAATTACTTCTAAAAAATATTCGTGAAAGCATCTGCAATCTACTTTACAGTAGGTGTTAGGAACTGAGTTAATTTTTGTCAAGAGACACGTAAATAACAGTTGTGATGTAGATACTTTTCAAGCTTCTAGATATATCAGTGCACTATAGTGTTTGGACATTGCTGTCGCATAGCAATCATTCAAACATCTTATCCCAGTCGATCCCTTTGATATAGCTTCTAATCTGGATCATAATGGACGTATGTGTTCATTTTCAAAAGTATCGAGAGTTTACAGATTGTCCAAATAAGCATAATTCTATACATAATTTATAGAAATAGTTAAATAGTTAAATAGTTAAATAGTGACATAACCCATGCTTTTGATGTACTTAAATCAGATTAGGTGCACAGAGCTGTCACTTCCACCTAATCCAGATTAAATGCCACACTATACAGTGACTTTTTAAAATAAAATGGATTTTTGATTTGTGAATTTCATCGGATGTCTTGGAAGATAGTTATGTTTGGCATATTTCACTAAAATAGTGCCGCCACATCAAAATCACGAAGCCAACAACTCTATTTTTAATGTTAATTATCAGACAGTGATTGTCAAGTCAGGTTAGAACGAATAAATGAAAAAAATCAGTTAATTGTGTTACGTAGTGGATTTAATTAGTTCGTTTTATACAATAAGTGACCAAATGTGATATCTAATATTTTGGTAGCTACTGTTGAGATAAATGGGGCATGATGCGTTTGGAGTAGAATAAAATGTGCACACATGTTCACATAGTAATCAGCTTATGTTAATAACCATAGAGAGAAAATTCGATTTCAATATACTGTGTGGGTTAATATAATGCTTATTAAAGTTTCCATTGTCAACCCACAGATACTCATTAATATTTTCTCTTCTAATTCAATAAAATTAATTAACGTTTAACACGCCAGAAGCCTTTGCAGCTGCTGTACTGAAGCTTAGCACAACTCATTAAATGCGAATTTATTTACGTAAGAAAAATCCTTAATGTACTTATACTCAATATCGTGTTCTGGTGGTATATGTGAAAGTTTAAGTACCTATAAATCCAAGTAAATATTAATCAGAAAAATCTTGAATTCGGTGTACTTAAGTTCCCCCACAATGCACACACCTAAGGACATTTTGAAGCGTGTGAAAATCAGCCTCGAAAAGGCGCAATTTTAAATTGTTGAAGTGCTTTGTCATTGTGATTAATAGACTTCGTATTGAAAATCGGCTTTCAGCTTTTGGGATTGTTGTTTTGGTCCTTTTTTGTGAAATGTAATAAATGGCTTACGTACAAAAGTGGCAATCTTTTCTTGACTTTAAAAAATGCAGAAGCCAATTCATTTTTCTTTTGCTTCTCCTTCCTAAATAAACCCAATTTTTATTTTGTAATCAGGCGGCATAAATTGACATTCAGTGCAGTGATTAAAGGGCGTGTCTAACCTTTTTACTGTCTCAGTAATCAAACTTAATCCACAAATTGTAAAATTTCATTAAATAGACCATAAAAAAGGATACAAGCAAGAGTACGAATATGCTGAATCTTAAAGCATATTTATGTTAAGTGCTTCATTTATTTTGGATATGTAAACGATATATTAAACAAGTAACGAGAATATAATATAATCCATTGATATTACTATAAATACATTGTCCAGTGTCCTTAAATTCAAATCTTTCAAAACGTTTGAGCTGTTGAAGGGATGTTCAATATGTTTAAGTTCCTAATGATAATCTTAGTCAATGATTAGTTGTGAACGTCATAATAATAGTAAGTTTGGATTCAGTACTTCCTGACACTTTAATGGAAACAGTCGTTTAAGAAAAGGTACATTTTCCTCCGGTCTTCAGTGGTGCCAATAGTGCTACTTAAACTAATGTAATATTTTAATGTAAATTCATTTAAACTATTACCATTTAAACTGAAATTATATTTTAATTCACATATAAAAAGTATATATTTACTCGATTCAATTCTCATTTCTTTAGTGAATGTTGTGCATGAATACCAATTAAAGGTCCTGCATATTTTGAAAAAATCAAACTAAAAGTTATTTTAAAAAATAAATAACTCATATCATCTCTTATCTTTGAACAATTTTTAGTGCTTTTGAAAGTAGTAATTTCGAAATCCTTGTTCTTTGACGTACTTTCTATACATGTATTCTTTTGATTTCACAGACTTTTTAGTTATATAGTTCCACTATAAGTATAAGTATCCTGTAAGTATGCTTACCTCGAGCACGCGGCTTCGTTAAGAGCTTTTGCACGATATTATCATATGCTATTTCCTCAGCAACGCCCGAGTCCTTGACAAGTTTTTCTTTTATTGCGATGCAGATATTGTGGCGCGCAAGCAACTCCTCCAGTTCTTCGAAAGCCTAAAATGTTAATCAAAGGTTTATATACTAACACATATTAAAAGTAAATCTAACTAGAAATTTCAGATTAGAAAAGAACATAAAATGAGAATTATAAAATTGAATTGGTTTGGAATTAATGAAGTGAAATGCATTAGTACTACCGAAATGGTAACGCAATCAAGCAAGAATCAAGTTTTGGTCATATTTTTTTAATTAATTAATTGGTCATTAAGAAAAACTTTATTATCCCTTTTAACTTTTTAAGATGAGTAAACTGAAGTTGTCTTTCTATGTACAGATAATCGTAATTAGGATAACATTTTTTCTATAATACTCCTGCTGTCCCGCAAGACACAATCTATTCCAGCAAGGATATAAAGTTAGCTTTGCAAACTTTAAGTGCTCTTTTGTGACATATTTTTCGTATTTTTCAGACATTCGCTTTTAACCTGCTGCATATCGTTGTATAAAGTGCCAAGGACCTATGACATGATTGTCTTAAGAGAAAAATTATGAAAGTTTAAATACTTGCTTATCTGCTTGTCTGCCCGTTGCATCTCTGAGTTTATGTACAAGTATAAGTACTAGTAGGTAAGGTAAGGAAAAAGCTAAATTCTAAAACATTACACTTACCTTAATGCCGTAGTTACTTTCTTCGTAAATAATAGACACATAACTCCAACCCATGCGCTTCACAATTTCGACCATGGCCTTGACTTGGTAATGATCCGAAGGTATTGTGCGGGTGAAATACTCGAAACGTTGCTTGTTACTTAGCTCAGGACTTGTTGAGAAGAACGAAACCTGCGGAACAAAAAAGAATAAATTTTGAGCAAAGAATTTAAAGCAAATCTTTAGAATACAAAGTGATGGAGGATTTTAAATTTGATTTACTTTAATATTGGTTTGCCGCGCTTTAAATTATGCATAGTTTTACATAAATTTAAGACAATTACAATTGATGCAGTTTTATTGATTATCTCTTTTGGCAAATAATTCTGAAGAAATGATTTCTTGAAACTATGCTTCACAGATTAAAATTTTAATTAAAAATCGAGCGATGAGCGTTGGTTTGCTTCGAAACGATTAATTTCTGCCATTTTCTGAGTGAAAAATATACTGAAAAGGGCAGTAAAAGATTTTAAGAATTTTCTCTTAAAATTCAACTGAGTTGTAAAATATTTAATTCATTTTGTAAAATAACAGTAAGAACATTAAGTTCAGAAAAATTAATGTATTACAATATTCTCACAGAATAGGAAGGAAGAGGAAGGAAGAGTTTCCTGCTTAATAGTTTTTGCTGAAGCAATTTTTGCCCATTAATTCACCAAAGTTGATGACATTTCACAGGCGTGAGCAATGCTGACCTTTACAATAAATGACATCCTGAATTAAATCAGATACAATTCAATAAAATATATAAAATTAATTTATAGAAATATTATAGTTTTTTCCTCCTGATTTTCCTCCTGCTAACAAAAACCAAAAAAAGTATTTCTAACCAATTAAATAGAATAAGAAAATGCATACGTTTTGGCTTTGCCGAAGATTAAATGCCATAAGACTATATAAAATCTATCTATATCTAAGCGCACCATCAATATATACTCTCCACATAGGTAAAGATAGTAGTGGAACAGATGTAAATCAATTCAAGTCAACAAATTTATTATAAATACTCGTATATATAAGGTATCTGATGTCTCTTTCAGCGCACTTCAAGTATGTTCACAAGTTAAGTACACTTCTTGAGCACTGTATGTGAGAGATAAAAAATACTAACACTACTGCACTGCGCTCAAGTGCATTCTGAAATTTATTTAAGTAGATAAATTGTTGCCTGCAGCAAGAATATTTTCAAGAAAAATACGAAAGTTGATTAAAGTGCTGCAATTTTGTATATTTTATGATTATTAAAGGGAAGTAAAGTGTGCACTGTGATTAAAATTTAAACAAGAATGGCTAAGACACTCTCCTAGAACACTACACTATGCATTGTGCGGCAAGAAAAGATGTACTTAACAATAATAGTTTCATTTAAGTGTAAGTATTTAGTATTCCTGAATATCTGCCACGCAAAAGTTCATTTTCTGTACTCATTTCATTAAGAATAAGAAAATTCATATCGAAAGTGGATGCATATTAAACTCGACTCAGATGATGAGAAGTATAATATCTTTCAAAATGCATCTTGTTAATGCTTGGTTAAAGCTAGTTTTAAATAACATTTTCAGTAATCATTTATACAAAAGTGTTTATTGAATATATATGCCTCATTTGATTAAAACTGTATACGACTAATAATCTTTATTCATCAGTTCCAAATTTGATTCCTAAAATTGTTTCATTTCTATTTTTATTTTTTCCAAAATCATCCCTTCACTTAGTGATGAAATTATTATTTTTTGGGATTTAAACTAAATTATATGGCAGGGTGATCATAGGTAGATATACTAGTAGTAACAAACCCTTTTGTGAATTGTGAATGCAAGTACACTAAAATAATGTTGGGCAAAAGCAAGTGTTTTTTAATCCTCTAAACCAAATATTCCAGTGACTTGTGTATGACCTTCCATTATTTTCCTCTCAAATTCATCACTGCAGTTGCATTAATGTCAACGAACACCAAACTTAGTGTGCACTAAACTGAACTAAGCAGAACGTCCCACAACTGCTGCGACATTTATTTTGAAAAAGTGTTGAAAAAGTGGTAGCGAAAGTACTTTAAAGTTTGTGAAAGTATTTCGGAAGGTGTGAGATTTAAAAACAAGGAAAAATTATAAAAATTTAATTTTGACTATAGCCGCATAAGTTCAGAAAAAATTAAAGTGAGGAACAAAACAGTAGTTCTCTTTGTTTTAAATGCAGAGCTTAAATGCAAGCTCTGACGTCAGAATCTTGTTTGTGAAGCGTTTATGAAACCACGAACCTTGAATTTTAAAGAGCGAGGACCTGTCTTAAATAATAATTTGAAATACATTAGTAAAAGGTTTACTTAAAAAAGTATTGATATCTTGATAAAACATTAAAACTATGATTAACTAAAAGTTAATGGGAAAATTAAAAGTACGTAATAAAAGTAACTATACTACTATACTATACTGATAACTGATAAACTGAACTGATAAAGATTTCACGTTCGAAAAGACGATTTATTTTATTTAATCGGAATGTACAAAAGAAGTAATATAGAATATAGAACACATAATTTTAGAATTATGTAAAGCAATAGCTTAGAGTTCATTATTTACTACAGATTATATTTTCGTTTCATTTATATTATTTTGATAATCTATACAATTTGATTAATACTATGACCCATGGATTATGTTCAATGATATGCTTTCATATTTACGGCTAATGATGTGTACTTAATATTTACATCCATAAACTTCTTATAGTTTTTCTTATTAGGCTTGAGAAGGTATTTAATAGTGATATCAAGTTCATCACAAGCAGCCCAGATATCTTGGATGTTTTTTTTTCGGACTGTACGGATTTGCAGTTATTTAATGTCTAATGGTTCTTAATTTATAAATATTATAAACAATTATTTTGGTGGTTAAGTCAATCAATTTTATTAATAATCGAACTGAAAGTATTTACCGAATTAACGGAATTTTTACATCCGTCTGTAAAAATTTTTTGAAATAATCTTCTAATAACTTTGGAATAGTCTTTGTTTAAATTTTGCCTAAAGAGATAATTTCTAATAAACAGATATGTAGAAAACGAGTCAGATATGTTTGATTGATTTGTTTTATCATGCAGATCAGGAATATAAACAGTTTTTGTGGTCACACAATTTATTCATATCTTTACCAACTTCTTATATATATATATCTTAAACTTAAAAAAGTAATATATATACATATATATAAAACTATGAAGAGTTATTGAAATTGATTTTTATTTCCTTTAACTTTTACGCTTATCCGACTTTTATGCCAACTGATATACAAGGTACGCCATAATAGGATTTTAAACTATTTTCAAAGTATTACAGTAAAGTTTTTCACATTTTCTTTAAATGTCCTAGGAAACAATTTCATTTTTGTTGTTTTTGTTGGGAACCTACAAAAGGAGTAGAGATTTTTGCAACTCACCTGCGGAATGCGAAAAAGCCTCAGTAAATTGGCTACTTGTATGGATGTAACAGAAGAAGCAGCGCCGACCACACCGGAAATGACCTTGCGCACTTGTGTTTTATTGCAATGATACTCAGCGTCATCTATATTGCTGATGGAACCTGGAAGTAAAAAAGCAAGCTATATAACAATGGAGATAAAAGCAAACCATAAGGAAGGAGATAGAAAAAAAGAACATAAAGGCTCAAAGAATCCACTCTGACAAATGTGTTTCGTTTGTGCCATGAATTTTTAATGGCTCATAGTCAATGACTTAAGCCAGTTTTAAATAGAAAACAAATAGAAAAATATAAAAAATGTTCACTGTTAAGAAATTTTATTTCGACGCTCTTTGCCGTATATTGCACAGTACTGGCAAAATATGCAATACGCAATTATCATAACTCCCAAATGTCATTATTGAGGCTGGCTCGTCCCATGTGCGCTGAAGTAATTCGAAAATGTTAAACAGCACGAACCTTGAATTAAATCTCATCTATATATAATATGTATTCCGTTCAGTTACTCCATATCATGGAATTACAATCGAATATCAAAGTATGCAATAGTTTTTAATGTATTAATAATCAAAGAGTTATTGTTACATTATAATTTATTGTTCTTTTAATTTCTATTATTTTAACACAACAATAAACAAGGTTTTTCTACAAAATAGTACAAAAGTTTCATGTGGCAAATATCAAAGCTTGCAAGTAATAGAATTTCAATTAAATCGGCTTTATTTGTAGTCAAAAAGTATGTAGTTAAAATCGGCTTTTATTAATTTTTTTGCTTTTGTATATTCAATTCACACAGTTGTATTACAAGTTACCATACAGCAGCCCAATTGAATTTCAAACTAAATAAAAAAAATTATAAATTAAAATTCCAAGCTCGAACCACAATTACGTTGCATATATTTGGGCGCATTATCCGTTCAATGCAAAATGCAATCAAATACAACCGCGTGCATTTAAATTTTGGAATTTAATTAACATATAATTTGTGTGATTAGAAGATGCAAATAAATAATTAGTGAAATTAGTAAAATATTTTTACCGTAATAAAGCGCCAATTTGCATTTCTGGCTTCTCTTGGAGTGAATAATTTAATATTTGCATGTTTAAGGCCAGAATAATTGTTATAAACTAGAGAAATGTAAAAGGTTACTGCGTGTGACGGTAATATAATTAAATTATTAAATTGGATTTTAATGTGAAACCTAACATATTATTAAATTAATTACTTAATTGATTATAATGTTATTAAGAAGTGTATTAAATGTATCAAAAGTAACAATTCTGTGGAGTATTTCTCTAAAGAACTATTATTAATTACTATTATAAGAACATATTATTTGAATATTATGGCTAAATTAAAGCATTATTTGATAATAATGTACCTTTCTAAGAAATAAATATAAATTAATTTGAATAATAGATTAAGAAGAGAACAAAATTGGGTAATCAGAAAAATAACGAGAAAATCTTATAGATGTAGCTGTTGTGTGAGGCAAATGGGATGTTTAAATTAGATTAGATTTTAAAACGGGTGTGGAACTTGTCACCACATCACTGCATCCTTTGAAGATTATTGTGACATACCCACTTTAGTAGCAGTTAAGAACTCCATTATGTCCTTTGAATAGATGTTGCCTAATTCCGTTATAAGTGGACCGAAGTCTGAGTCTAGCAAGACTATCACAGTGACACTAAATGTGTTCTGCTGTTTCCTCTTCTTCGTAACAAAGTCTGCAGCTATCGTATTCAGTAATACCCGATAGATGCTTTTAACTCCGCAATGCCCAGTGAGAAACTATGTGACAAGTGGGATGCTACTTCTGTTCAGCATAAATAGTTTCCTGGTTCTGGGTTTTGATCGATACTGCATTGATTGTTTAGCTTGTCTGCATGCAATGGTATCCTCCTAAATAGTCTGAGCTACTCTTTCTAGCCACTCATTAATTTTATGTTTGAAAAAGCTCCATAAAAGATGGCAGAATGGTTGCAGCCTAATATAATATGAGACCGCCCCTTTTCTGGCTAGTTCATGTGCTTTTTCGTTTTTCTCAAATCCGCTGTGCCCTGGGATTCATATTAAGTGAACCCTGTTCCTTTCAGCAAGGTCTTTAAGAAGTAGAAGTTATTTCCACACTAGTTTTAATGTCACTCGATGTGAGTGTAGTATTAGGAGTGCTGATTTACTATCAGAGAAAATATATGTTTTTCCCTATGACGGGTTTCCCTTTATATTCCCTTAGACATAAATAGTTTCAAATAATAGCACAGCATGTGGAATACTTGCTTCTGAATAAATAAGAAAATTTATACAACAAAACATTACATTGGGTTTGTGTTGCAGTCGTTACGTACAGCAAAAGATTTTTTCAAAGACCACAGATGATCAATATTTGGCGATTAAAATAAGTCTTTTGGATTTGAAAATAAACAATTTTCTAAATAATAAATATCCAGCTTAGAAATAAGGTACATATATTCTTATTCAATTCTGGTTCTAAACTCAAGTAAAATCAATACTATTATTTTGGTACTTTTTGAAGAGTACAGAAGAGTAACTATTCTAGATGAAATAAAACGAGAAAGTAATTAATATAATTTAAAATCTATGGTATATTGTTATATTACTTTTATATACTGGTGCACATTATACTACATTGGGATATTCAACTCAATAGTTTAATATATATTATATATAATATTGATTTAATATTTTTGATTTGTTACGTCAAAACCGACTTCAATATACTATATGTTTTATTCCCCAAGTTCCTTAACTTTCTAAAGTAATTTATTCTATTTGTAATTATTTTCGTTTATGCAATTAATTTAAGACTTTTTTCCCTTCAAAATTCAATTTAATCTCAATTTTTCCATTAGTTCAACTCGACTTTTCATACATTCCCGCAAATTTTCCGAGAGGAAGTGCAATGTTTTTTTGATGCTAGCAATCAACACTTTCCACCCACATAATCCCAGCTGATTTAGAGTAATTGAATTTGTTGTTATCTTATTGAGAACGGTATACTCGCACAATGTAAGTTGCCAATATTAATATACAGGCTCAAATAAATTACATGCTGTGCTATGCGTCGACTACGATTATGAGGTCCCCCTATAATTTTATGAAACTCTACCATATTTTCTTTTCTTATTCGCAATTTTTTTTGTCCTACTCAATATTTTCTGTTGATATTGTGAAGCTAATTTTATTGCTCTCGGCTTATACAAGAGCACAGCTAAGATATTAGACAAGGACTTGTGCTATTTTTCAAACAATTGTTCATAGCGTTATCAAGCGTTTACATTATGTGTCCTTATACGCCGCCAACATCATTCATTGACTTGGAAAATTATATTTTTTTGACGTTAAACGGATTGGGCCGGGCTATGGTTCTCGCGTCCTGTGACTTAGGCAAACGCACAAACGCACAAACGCAAACACGTACGAACGTATGAACGCACGAACGCACGAACGCAATAACGCACTTATGCACTTACGTTCAAATGAATCCTTTTTCAGTTCATAAATAATGAAATTATGGAGATTAGAAATTGTGCAATCGGTCGTATTTATATTGATTTCCTACGCCCATATTGCGTGTGTGAATAAGAGTATCTATATCTATATCTTTCGTTACTGCATTCAATTGAATATAAATCGATATTTCATTTGCGTTTGTAATTTGATTGTTGTTGTTTCGCACATCGGCATCAGTAAGCAATTTTATGTAAAATTTTATTTTTTGCAGTTGTGTTTGCATTGTTACTACAGCTGAAGTATGTTTCTCATCATTTTGAATATATTTTTATTTTTTTTTTTGTATTTAGCACTGAAAATGATTTTTATGCCATTTTATGATTTATTTATTTCTTTATATACATTCAACCATATCAGCTTCTAAGCATGTTTACACATACTTTCACATACGAGTACTCCGAACACCAAACTCACAGTATTACGTACATTTATGGGGTCGCGTTTATCTTACTTAAAGTATCTGCGTTTTTCATATATTTGAGAAAGGAATAAGAATAGATACTTTCTGCGTTATATACTCGCACACAGCACATTATTGGATGTTTCATTGTGTTTGAGTATGTTTGGCAAAGATAATAATAATTTCATGAGTTTGTTAGTTGATCTTTGTTCAGGGACGAATTCAGTTTTTTATTGGCATATGGGATTTCCTACATAATTTATTACTAGTTCCAGTTCTTAGGGGAAAATTTGTGGTTAATTGTGTAAGTAAAGCAGATATAAACGAAAAAAAGCAATAAAAGTAATATAAATTAATTTTCTTTATAGTTGAAGGCAGTTAAGGCTCAGAACAGAACAGAAGGAGGGAACAATGTTCATGAATTGTTAAATTACAACATTAGATGTCCTGCATTTAAAGCGAATTTCATTATAACAAAGCGTAATTTCACTTAAGGAGTAGTGATCGGCTTACAGTGTATATAAAATAATAATAAAGAAAATATGAAAAATTTTAAGTTAAGATTTATTGTGGTACAATATACAATATTACAAGGAACACAGATGAAAATAAAATTTTGACGAGTGATAGTTCTACTAATGACCATTATATTGTGCGTATATTATTCCATGCATAAATGATTAGAAAATTTAAAACATCTGAAACTATTTAAATGTAGTATTTACTATATACTGAACACTCAGTGTATTGAGTTTAGAAACATACTAGCATACTAGGTAATTAAATACTAGTAGTGGCAATGTCTTAAGTACCGTTGGAGATATTGTTTATTACTGTGTCTATTATTAAGTTAAAAGTATTATATATAGTATTTATCTTCAGAACAGTATATTGTATTACATATCCATGCCTTACATATACCTTACATTTCTATAAAAAGTTTTTACCTGTAAAATAGTTTGAAGTAGATATGTTTTGTGCAATCATTGTTCAAAATATTAACAACGTATTATATTGTTTAGCTAAGTCGTCCACTTAGAGTAGAGAATTAAAAAGTAATCTATCTATTTTTTATTCACCATAAATATTATGTACTGAAAGATTGTTTGCAATGTAGCTAACACTGTTGCGAAGTTGAATTGAGTTATTGTTATTATTATTGCTATATATAATATATAGAGCATCTGGTGGTTATTCTAAAATGCTACTAAACTAAGTTTTATATGCACAATACCGACTTCAAATCGGTGGCTTGGTGTTGCTGCGAGACTGGAAAATGTACAGGCGCAACTTACCCCTAGGACACATGTTTTCCCAAAAAATGTCTATTTCCATTCATGGATAGTTGGAACTAAAAGTGTATATATAACTTGAACTGTTAGCAATCGTCGTCGTCGTAGAAATGCTTTAGTAATCAAAAAAAAAAATAAAATAAAGAAACATAATTATTGCAATTTTTTTGAATAAGCTGTAATAAAAATAATCCTTTCTTTAATGTATCTAAAGTACTTGTATAGAATATCTGTTACAAATGCAATTTTATCTTTTCTTCGTTGAACAGCAATTTATTTTAAGCAAGCCATGTTCAATTTAATAAACTGTTTATATATCTACAAAGCTATGTCTATCGCATAATATGTTTGTATTTACTCGTGTCCAATAGTAAAAGTAACTAGGATAAAATAACTTCATATAAAATTTCTTTTCTCGGAATTTTTTTCTTTCTTTGAAGATTACAAAGGTGAAATTAAAATGATGTGTAGTATTACTACAGTCATATTAAGATAAAATGCTTTAGAAAAAAAGTTATAAAATGAAACTTAATATTTTTAAAAACAAATTCTTTATGATTTCATATGGAATGGAAATAATTCTTTGCAAATTCGTTGTACTTGAGTGTCTTTAATAATGCAAATGCTAAATACTTAAGTGCACTTTTAATAAAATGTTCAACAATAGAGATCTTTGTTACAAAAAATAAATTTTCTTTATTTTAGGTAGTTATTTTCATATTATATAATAATAATAATAATATTTGACAAATTTAAACACAAAGCAAATACATCGTTTTAACAAAAAACGAATAATTGAAATAGCAATAAAAGATATAATAAAAATAAATATGTTAAAAAATAATAAAATATATTGTAGTAGACATTTTTTTTAATAGTTTGTCAATATTTACAAACTATGTATACACGGTTAAGCGATTGAACTGTTACTAACTATACACAGGAATATCTGTCAAACTGATATTGTCAACTATATGAAGATCATTAAAAATTTTTGATCTAAAAATAAAAATAATAAAAATTACAATTAAATAAAAATTCCTCGAGTTTGTATTCATATCAGGGTCTGTATGCTATATAGCCCGACACTTACCCCACTCGTTCCAATTTCGTGGTTAACTCTTATCGTTCATTTGAATGGAATTGATGTGTTCTCTTAAGTTTTGTTTAATTATAGAATAGAAATCCCAAGAAGACATTGAGTTCACTTTGAAGGAGATGAAAGTATGTTATTTTCACTTGTTAGAAAAATCGATTAAAATCATTTTGGTTAGTAGAATAAAAAATACTTATAAACAAAATTTCCAATCATGAATCGAAATATTAGACGAATGTCTAACAATTATAAACATAACTCCTTACTACATATCGCAAATGGTACAAATGTTCTTTGACTCGTGGTCTCTAAGTAAAGAAATAAATTTATATTTAATTTTATTGGAATAGGAGAGATACTATGAATAAAAAAATTTGTAAAAATAATTATTTTTGTGTATCTTTAAGATTCCGCAAATATCACTTTAATGAGACGACTATGCGTGGTTAAACACAATTACTATTTTAGTAACTGTTTTAAATTTAAAACAATGTAAATGCATTACGTACCTTTAATGAAATCAACAGCCATTTCTAAGCCATATGAATCCTTATCGCAATCATCTAATATGTGTGCTCCTAGGGTTATGTTGGGCAGCAGGTGCTTCTCATTGATACGATCGATTGTGTACAACATTGCTTCTAAAGCTTGTATGCCACCTTGCGGCATAATAGGCCCACAAATAACGCTATCTTCACGTGAGTGCACCATCATTAAACCACCAAGTATTAAATCTCCTTCAACTATGGCCTCATGTTTGACAGGCCAATGGCGCTGCACGATAGTGTGACGATGTAGTAAATCATAGTTAAAGTCCTCTGAATCTGGCAGAGAACGAAATACCTTGCCGCTATTTCCAACACCTACCGAAGTTAATGGCATTAATGTATGTGCCAATGGTACATGCCGGCCACGATGGCGTCCCGAACGTGGCGAGGCAGCAAAATAATCTGTGCTGGTTATGTTTCGAAATCTGTCGAGATCCCATGTATCATATGCAGTAAGTGCTGGAAGTGTTGTTTCTATCGATAGAAATTGTTCACTCAGTTCGCTATTTTCCTTTGGCAACTGCTGTTCCTTGTTAACAATTGAATTTTTGTGTGGATGATGAGATTGATGGTACTGGTGATGCGTATGTTGATGATAATGTTGCAGAGGCATCGATTCATGCTGATCTGTTGCATATAGCAAATCTGTCTGCAGTTGTTTATGTAGCGTTAATTCTTGATTCTCTGTTTCAACCGCTGTCCTTTGCAATTCATTTTCAGTGGATCTATCGTTGTTGTTAGTATATTTGTGTAAAGTGGCTGTTTGCATGGTTGGAGCAGCTGGAATAAAAATTTCATCATTCAGATAATCCCAACTGTCCAGTGCCATTTGACGTAGTGCTGTCGAATGTTTACGATGTCTGCCTTGTTGTGGTTGGAAGTGGTGTCTCTTCGTATGTTTTTCATGTTGCACATGTGATATGTGTATGTTATTGCTGTGTGATTGATGGCGCTGTGCTTTGCGCTGATGTTTATGTTTGCGCTGATGTCTTTTGAAATTTTTTCTTTTGTGAAATAGTTTACTTAAAGAAGTGTTTGGTTTGCTAAAATTTCGATGATGTTGATACTGTTGCTGCTTGTGGTTATTATATATTATGCGTTTATCTGGTTCACGATACAAATTCTCAGCTTTATGTAGGTTATCCCGTAGCTCTGCCTTTTGCATTTGTGTAGTAGTAGAAAGTAAAAGACTTTCCGTTGCATATCTTTCTTCGTTTCTCACTTCTTTTGGGATGTATGCTTCATTACTCGAACTTGCATCATCATAAAGTACTACGTTATCATCCAACAACTGCTCCGTTATATCGCCCACCACCTCACTGTCATTCCTTTCATTACTCTGTGTTGCAGCGTCATTGCCAGTGGCGTTCAGCAAAATTACAAGCATGAAGCACTGCAGCAGGACTCGACATGATAACTTCATTTTATTTTATGGAAATTCTTTTCGAAGATTTTGCTTTTTAAATTGAAATTCTTTGCTTTAATTGTAAATGATATTTTACTAGCACAGATATGTGTTTTTTATTATGATATTTTAAAAAGATATGCTTTTAAGTTACGAGTACATACGATTCCGAACGAGTATTTGCGTTTGCTATTGGAAGATTCCGTTTGAGTATATAAGCTCAAAGACATTAGTTTGCATATTAAATTTTATTTGCATTATTTCACTTTTAAATAAATTTATTATTTTTATTTTATTTCTTACTACACGATGCTTCAAATTCTGGGAAATTAATATTATATTTTTTCTTCTTAGTCATTTTCATTTGATTTTTCACTTTTATTTCAAATTATTAAAAAAAAATTACTTAAGTAACAATCAATTTCTCTATATTTAAAGGAGTAATATTAGTTAGATACGCTTAAATGTGATATAAATCTATAAAATTGAATAAAAATGATTCGTCTTTAAAAGAAAATTAATCACTAGTGCTAACAAATATTATCAGTGCAAAAGCATTTATTATAAAAGGTTTCAAATTAAAATAACATAGAGTTTACCCGATGGAAAGAACACTAAATATTTGTAGAATATATTTAAATTATATATTCATTTTAATTGTTAATTGAAACTCATTTTTAATTATATAGCATTTTGACAGTGTATCTGGGCATGCACGAACGCAAGTTTTCAAAATGGGAATCACTTACAACATATGCTGTCATAGATGTCGCAGTTGGAGGAGAGGCAAACAGGGAGATAGGATAGCAGAAATTCTTATTAACGAACTCTAAGAGTTCCTAAACTACATAGATTGGATATGACAAAAATAATCAAATAATCTGTTAGTAAAGAGGATGTGGCACTAAAACGGTACGAAAACGCAGATTAGACTCATGGTTTGAGTCACCCATTAAAACAACTAACCAACATCTAGATATTCAAATACCTTTTCAGTTCTCATATGCTTCAGTTCTTATTAAATTTCTAATCAAATATATATTAAAATATAGGACCATAGCAAAATAGATGTTGCGTTAGAATGCTGAGGGACCTTAACGGCTTGACTTTCTAACCAAGATGTGGCACAGAACAGTATACAGGGAATTGGAAAGCAAAGTGAAGCTCATCATAGGACTCATTTTAAAAAACATTAAAGATCATTAATTAAACAACTCCATGAAATAGTTGTTAACTCATACCGCTGGCAATTAATTAGGTAATTAAAATGTTATACAGTGAATGCATTAGTTTTTTCCAAAATTATGCGGAAGAATATAATAATCTTACAGCTGTGATTCAGTTATAAATTTTACTTATATCCTTTAAAACACCTTAAAGTCTAAAGGAAAGTGTGTGAAGTGAAGAGTATGAAAAGTTAAGCAAAATAAAAAGAAAAATAAAAATAAAATAAAATATTTTTCCTTGTAATTAATCAAATTTTACTTAAACCCAATGATATACGTACAACATCCGACACCCAAAATTTCTCATTTTAATCTTAAGAAATAAAACAAAAAAAACAAACCCGAAGAAAATTATTAAACAAGATAAAGAACTTCAAAAAGGGAACAAAAAGAACCCTATACAATATGAAAGGAGCAAAAATTAAAGAAATAAGAAGAGCAGGAAAGCCATCGACTTGATTGTGGCTCGAAAAAGGATAAGAAGGCACAGATATCTTAGCTTTCGGCTGCGTAAAAAACAGCGAACAGTGAAGTGAAAATTATGAACTTAAATTGGTTGTGGGCGTTCATTTTGTATGCCGCGGTTAAGGCTGAGGTTTTAATGTAAGCGCAAATGGTTCGGCATGTCAAACTGTGGTACGGCAAGGCAAGTGCTGCCGATGTGCAAACACGCGCTACTGAACCTCAACTTTCCTTTGTACTGTAGTTGGGTGAAAGTGAGTGAAAGTGAAAGTAACTTAAACTAATCAGCGCTTAGTTAACGCCGCATTATCACTTGAAACTCAACCAAATTGCTTATCGTCTGTAAAATAATGAAATTGCGTTAAACAAATGCGTTTTGTCTTTATCAAACTTAATAGGCTTTTTAGCATGGCCTCGAGCAATATTTCCAGTACTTATTTTGATTATAAGTGCTACAAGAAAATCATTATATCCTGTTTGTCTTCGCTGTAAGAAAGTGTTGCGGTGGGGGAGTCGCCTTTCATTTATATAAGTACATTCACTTTTTATCTTCTGCGCTTTTTTTACAATTATTGTCATAAAAACTGTAAGTGGTGCTCTTCCGAAGTTTTCCACGTGGACACAATAGGGTACATTTTAATATTGTTTTTATAACCTTCACTCAAAGCGTAATCATTTAGTAAATACTTCTGATGCAAAATAAGAATCTTCTCAAAAGTTACTATAGATATTAATTTCGTTGCTTATTTTTTTGTTGAAAGGGCCATGAGTGCAGGAGCAGTGATATAATAAATGTGATTTATGAATGGACAGAACTCCTATGTGTATGTACGTATGTTAGCAAGAAATTAAAAATTTAAATAAAAAAACTTAAGTAAAATATATTCATTCATTTCACATCGTTCTTTACACTAAGTGGCTTGCATTCTTTGTGCATTTAACCCACTTAGCCGCAGCTTCAGCATTATGTCCCTATGTCACAACTGCCATTTAATGCCAATTTCCTCTTGCATACCAAAGCCAATTAAATTTGCTTGAAATTAATATTTTTAAAACGAGTACAAAAACAATTTGCCATTTAATAACTTTATTATTTCATTCTTCTTTAATGGGCATATTGTCATTAACATAATTAAAGTTAATTTTTTAAATATATAAATAAAATCTTTTTCATTTTAAAACACAATTGCTTTTGCTTTCGGAAGTGGCCACGACAGCTCATTATTTTATTTTAATTTCATTTAAGTGTTCGAATTATATATTTTTATAAAAATTATATATATATTCTTCATATGTGTAAGTGTGAGTGCAAGTGCTATTCTCTTTCAGATATATCGAATACAGTATAGTTCGTATAGTTCGAATACCCGCAAAGTATTCGTACTCTCTTTGAGAGTATTTGCATACATCAGATAATTCGATAAATATTCGAACATTACGAGTAAATACTTTTATCTAAATTATTTTATAATATCATTTCAAATACAAATGAAGCTAGATAAATGACAGATGGTAGTAGCCGATCGTCAAATGGTAGATCTGTAGTGCTAAGTGATATCACAAAAACGTTTTAAGGAATCGAAAAACTACATAAAGCCATCAATGTCAGTCAATGAGCCAAGATTAATGCTTGTACTTTTTATTCTGACTACAAAAAGCCTATTATCGTCGGAGGCGTATAGAGCAATTCCAGATAGAGTTGGTAGAAAGAAAAGGAAATACCTCTCGTTGACTTTATATATGTGAAAGATAGACTGACACATCATATTACTTGGACTCAGATAATGCTTGGTACTGTATGATTTTATGTGGCAGGAGAATGTTGAAATCGAGGTGGTCGTGGAACTAAATAAAGCAACCATCCGAAGCTTTTGAAGTAACTATCCTTGACTAAAAAGTAAGCTGTGAACTGATCACTCATCAAACAGTTTGTTTTCCATTTTTTTATAAAGGACAAGTAATTTGGATTCGAAAGTAATTTATGCATCCACTTTCTTTGACAAAACCACATCAATTTCAGAGGTAAAAAGTGTAGTTAGTAAAAATAAAAACGTATCATAAAGTAAATTTGCTCTGCTCGACGAGTGGGATAGTTTCTAACATTTCTGTTAGAACTATAAAGTTCGAACCTTTTTTATTAAGTCAATTGATTAAAACATTAATCTAGTTTTTTAGCATATTTGCAATTAATATAAAAGTTTTTGTAAGATAAAGGAAATATTCGTACACCATTCCATGTCTTTTAAAAATTAATAGTAAATTCAGGTATATATTCGCCTCATATATATAAGTAACCATTCAAGTATATTCTTTTTATTAGGAATATAATAAAAAAATGAACGTATATATATAATATGTAGGGATACAATGAAATCGCTGCTCTGTTTTTTCCCTCCGGAACATAGTACATATTACCAGTTGCGACTACCATATGGAAATCAGGAATGAGGAAAGTGTCAATGTTTTTCGTCTTTTGATAAATGTGACAAAATGAAAGGCTGACAGCCATATTAAGAAGAACATATGTTGCCGGCTCGATGCCAAACAAAATTGCCAAAAGCCCGAAAATGAAATACATTTCACAGAATATTTTGTTTGAAGTGAAAATATGTGAATTGCTCTCAAACTCAGTACATCTCGTACTCGAATGCAATATTGTGAAGCTCGTAAAGTAACAGTCGTTAGTTCGGTGTTGTACTTACGTGGAAATATGAAAATTACACATTCAATGAAAATTTCAGTATTCAGACCAAATTCAATAGTACGCCTTTAAATCCTTCAACATGAATAGGAAAGCTTTTTGTGAAGCAAGTTCGTATAATTTATTTACAGGCACTCACCTCCCCATGTTCTATGAGTAGATATCAAATGGTGAAATGGTGTAACTTGAAGAATTTACGTGAGCAGGTGTCAAAGTCATAAAATTGCTTATATGCAAATTAATATTTAATACATTTACTTAACGTAAAATAAGGAAAGTAAGAAAATAAGAGATTGCCTCGCAACTTCACGCAACAAAAATTGATGAAAGGCTTTCGTTCCCCACACTCAGGAGTATTGGGGTTTTGACTTTCAATGCATGAAAAGATTTAATTAACATAAAACGTAATTAGCTTAATGGCTTTATATAAATAAACATAAAATGATATTGAAAGTGATTCTCTAGGTTTTTCTTTTAAATACCCGTATCTTATGCTCAATATGTCGTCAAGATATGATAAATACCATAAAAATATGTTTACATGTTTCATCTAAATTTAAATATCTCTGCGAGTGTATATAATTTTTTCTACCTCAAATAATTTGATTACCTAAGTTGAATTATTCATG